CGGCGGCCTGGGCGCTCCGTTGCCAGCCCGCCCCTCCAGTTCCAGCGGCGGCACCAGTGGCGGCGGTACCAACGGTGCAGCAGCCTCGCGACGCCCTATCCCTTTGCACCAGCCCGATCCCTTCGCACCCAACCCCTCCAGACGCCGCATCGCTCGCTGATCGGATCATTTTTCTTTTGCGCCAGGCGGCGCCCTGGTCGCTTCCGCGCCCCGACCGAGCGCATCCGCCGCGCGTCCGCCGGTGCGTCTGCAGTCGCTCTGTGCCCGCCCTCGTTCGGCTCGAGCGTTGCGATGCGATCGGCGTAGGCGCTCCCACCTCGCATGCACGCGGAGCTTTGCAAGGCTGCCAATGGGCAGCCGTACAACCGCGAGGTCTTCTCCATTGAGGGGGTCGGGGGCACGGATGGGCGCGGGGGGCGCACGCAGCAGGTCGCTCGCTTCCTGGTTGCTCTCGGCGAAGCGGAGGCTGCCTTTGTCGCTCAGATGCAGGCACAGTTAGCAACGCCCCGTCCCGCGTGAGCGCGTGTGTCGTCGCGCGTTTTGCGCTCTGACAAGGGACGTCGCCCGCCACTTGCGCAGAAGCACAAGTGGTCGCTCGTCGACATCCTCCCCGCCGGTGACGACCACTTCCAGCGCGTGCTCCGCTACGACTTCCCTGCGCTGCACAACCCCCTCATCCACGCGCTCGTCAAGCTCGTCCGCTCGCGCCGCGGCGTGCCCGGCTACGTCGTCATCGCAGTCATCGGCATGCTTTGCGGGTGAGCCGTTCCGCCCGCGCGGCGTGCCCTCCACCGTTCTCCACAGACCCGCGCGTGAGCCACGCAAAGCCACCCGCACGTTTCGCCACCGTTGCCGCTCGCAGCAAGGGCCCGGGCGTGCTCGAGCTGCTGCGCCGCGCCATCCAGCGCGGCGATTGCGACACGGTCAAGGGCATCCTCGCGCTGGTGCACGCCATCCACGCCGTCTGCCCCGAGCTCGTGCCGCTGCTCTTCGGCCTCAACCGCCGCCTCGTGTGCTGCGGCCGCACGGGCAAGGGCCGCGCCGCGCCCGATGGCGCCAACCCCGAGGGCCTCTTCGGCGCGCGCTGCGGCGAGGAGCTCTCGGCGCCCGAGTACCGTCTGCTCGAGATGGGTGCGCGCCGCCAAAGCCGGCTCAGCATGCGACCCCCCCTCGCCGCGCGTGCGCCAGCCTCGCCCAAGCCGCACTTTGACCAACCCCCACGGCTCTCCGCCCCTCTCCCACGCACCACAGTCGCCGTCGGGTGCGCCAACGGCGGCGTGCTCATCGGCGCCTTCCTGACCTTTGGCAAGCCGGCGCGGAAGACGTTCGGCCAGCTGGCTCCGCTGTGCACAGCGCTCGGCCGCACCGTCGCTGGCTCCGCCTTCTCGTGCCTCCTCAACGAGACGGAGATCCAGCACGGCAAGTACTTTGTGTACGGCGGAGAGCCGCTCGCCAACTGGATCCGCTGCGCCTCCGACTCGCTCGCCCAGACGATGCCCCACATCGCCCAGCTCAACCGCATCGCGTGCCCCGCGCGCGCCGCGTTTGACGCTGCCGTCTACGAGGCGTTTCGCCAGATCCGCCTGCAGCTGCCCGGCGCCAACTCGCTCCGCCCTGCCGACATCCCCGGCTTTGGCGACGCCCTCTCGCCGGCGGCGGCGGCGGAGAGCGCGGCGCGGTCGGCTCGCGACAACGGCAACAAGATCATCCGCTACTATCTCCTCAAAGGAGTCGTGGCTGCCGTGCACTACCCTTCCGACGGCGGCGACTGGCCCGCCGCGCCAGCCGCGCGCACGTGGGACCGCGTGGTCACCGACCGCGCGTGCGTGCTCGGACACTTGCAGCTGAAGCGGCGCTACTACCGCGACGGCGAGGTCGTCGCGACGCACACGCCCGCGGCGGGCGGCTCGTGGCCGCCCCCGCCCGCGGCGCGGTACGACACGGTGGTGACGGCCACGCCCGGCGCCTTTGGCGGGATGCACGGCAGCACGGCGGGGCAGAGCTACGGCGATGGCAGCGTGGCGGGCCAGCGGCGCGCCGACGGGATGCGCGCCCAGCTCAAGTGCGCTATCGCTGCCAGGATCGCCGCCGCCGCCGCACCCGCCGCACCCGCCGCACCCGTCGCCGCGCCCGCCGCCATCTCCGCCGCCGCCGCACCCGTGGCCCCCGCCGCGCCTGCCGCGCCTGCCGCGCCCGCCGCGCCCGCCGCGCCCGCCGCGCCCGCCGCACCCGCCGCGCCCGCCGCGCCTCCTCGGGCGGGCGCTGGGGACCTGATGCGGATGGCGCGATGCACAAAGTGCGGCGACACAACCGACCCCAAGGAGTTCGGCGGCTACGGCAAAAAAGGGCAGTGGAAGTGCCAACACCACCACGACGGTGTCGGGTGCAACAAGACCTTGTACTGCGCCCAGTGCGGCCTGGGGGGCGGCGCGTGCATGCGGCGCAACGAGGCGGGAGCTGACCCGCCATGCCTGTCCGCGCTGTACTTCCTTGGCTGAATCTGTGGTGGCTGAGTGGCCTGCCGTAGAGAGCTATCGACGAGCGGCATGTCGCTCCCATTCACTGACCAGAGCTCGAGAGGGCCAGCAGCGTGTGGATCAAGGCTGCGCTGCACCACCGAGGTCGACGGCTCGCTGTGGCCATACTCGGGCAGAACCCCGTGGGGTGCGCAACCGAGCCCCGCACGCAACGGGGAGCAGCAGAACGCAGCCCCATGGCATGAGTCACTCGTGCGACGAGGAGCTTTGATGACACAGCAACTACCCATACGTAGAGTAAGCTACTGACGTACTGTCCAGCGGACCGTGCTGTGGAGACGGGAGTCGCTCCCCCAGCGCTGGGCTATCACATTTGCGCTTTCTTTTTTGTGTACAGTGTAGCACACACAGTGAGTCATTCGGAGTCATTCGATGGCCAGAGTGCGATTGTGTGTATGCGGGAGTTGGTTTGTACTCGAATTACATACAGAGAGAAGACAGCCACACGCCACACGGCGGTCGACTCGCTAACTCGACTCCAGGGGCATCTCTCTGCATGCACCAAACAGCATGGCGTGCGCTTCGGGGGAGACCGAAATTAGAGCTTGCGTCTCGGAGTCGGACGCAGCACTGCCCACCGGCACCACCGGCACTGGAACCGGAACCGAGACCGGCGGTGGCTCTGCTTCTCGCGGGAGCGGGCCTTGTGACCAGCAAGTCGGGTCGGCAACCGATGAAGCTGGAGCCAGGTGCGGCAGCAGCGGCAGGCAGTAGGCTGGATGTGGCAGCATCCCAAGCCCCTCAGATTGGAGTGGCACGACTGGCTTGAGCGGCGGTCGCGGCGGCCGCGGCGGTCGCGGCGGCCGCCTTTGCTGGGGTTGAAGGGCCCTCTGGTGCGGCTTGCGGCCAAAGCGCGTGTCCAGGGTGGATGCATAGCTGCTCAGCTCGGTGCGGCTCGCCGGCTGGGCGCTTTTGACCCTGCGGGGCGGCGGCGGCGGCGGCAGCGCTTGCGGGGCTGGCCTCGGCGGCGGCTTGGCGATGAGCGCCGCCTCTGCGCAAAGCAGGCACGGCGACAGTCCATGCCGCTTACACGGCAGATTGGGGTTGGGATTCTCCACGGCCGATCGGAGCCTCCGCACTGCGGACGAGGCGGACTGGCCACGAGCCGGCGCAGACGCCACCGAGTATGCGGATGGGGCGAAGGAGATGTCAGAGGCGGTGTCATCATCGCACTCTCTCCGGCGAAGCCGGCGCTGTGCGAGTTTCGCGTCGAGCCGATCGAGTGAAGCTTCGAGCTTGCGCTCCATCATGAGATCTTCCTGCTCCTTTTGTCGAGAGAGAATTCGCCCGCCACAACCCGGCGGCGGCGACGGCTCGGCGCGGCTGTCATCGACGAGTGCCTTGGCCGTGATAGGGCCAATGTCGCTCGCAGCCCGTGACGGCAAGGCAGAGACTGCGGCCAATCGAGCTGCGGTCAGCCTCGCTGCTGGACGCGCGCCACCGATAGACGATGCCGCGCCCTTGGAGGGATGCGATGGCTTCATTCTCCGCGGCATTCTCGGAGGCGGCAGCAGGCTGGCGGGCTGCGCCTCCGCCTTGACTGCAACCTCAGCGCCAGCGGGGCCGGGAGTCGTCTCGACGCCGCACGCCGGGTCCGCTGTAGTAGTAGCTACACCGGACGCCTTGCGCGCGAGGAGCGCGCCGTGAGCGCGCGCCAACTTGGTGGCCACAGCCGAGGCGGACGACAGCTGGTCGGCGGCCTGGCGCTCGGCATACTGGAATAGCTCCATGCTGGTATCGATGGCGAGCGTCTGATCCAGCCGTCTGTCGGTACAGTCGCGGGGCGCCGCGTGGGACGGCCTTGTAGGTGGTGAGTGCCACTTGCAGCAGCCGCCACCCGCGCGTGGCCTGGCAGCCGCGAGAGCGGCGTCGGCCGCGGCGTCGAAAGGGTCCTCCTCGACGACCTCCTCCGCCGCCTTCTCGCGGCCGCCGCCGAGGAGGCCACGGTCGTCGTCCACCTCGCACTCTTCCTCAACTCCCCCCGTACAGCCAGCACAGCCAGACTCGGACGGCATTGCTCCTCTCTCCTGCGCCAAGGCCCTGTAGGGCCGCGGCGCCTGCTGCGGCGCGAGCGCCGCGCCGGCGGCTCGCGGCGCGACGTCGAGCGCGCGCAGCAGCTCCTCGATGCGCCGGTCTCGCCCGACGCGGTGGGCGGCGGGCGGGAGCCGCTGCATGTATCGTGCGCCCCCTCGAACGTAACCGAAACGTAACCGAACGGTTATTTTTTGCGGGGCAAAAACCATAAACTGTTGGCCCGGGTCGAACCCAGAAAGGAAAGAAACAGACCGCCACCACACCATTCTCCACGTCCCCGCTCTCGGGTGGCGTGGTCCACTGCTCCACCATATCACTTCCTGCCTAGTCCTCACCCTCGCGGCTGTCAGTCATCCTCTGTGTGACTGTGCCTCTCTCTTTCTGAGAGCCTCCTCACCCCCCGCCCCGCTGCCGCTCACAGCACTACGCAGGGCCGGGGGCGCCGTCGGCATCCGCATTGGCACGCACACACACGAGACACGTGTGTGTAAGCGTGTGTACCCAGGGTGACAGGCCCTGTGACAGCGGCAAAGTGACCAAAGAAAGAAAGAAAACAGCGGATGAGCGGGAGGCACGCCGCGGGAACCGGGATTTTAAGGAAAGGGATGAGATGCTAGCCGTCTCGCGTCTGCGTCTCCCCGATGTTTGCCCTTTGGCGTCTGCCTCCTCACCTATCTCTTGTCGCAGAGTACTTGTGGCGCACTGTCGTCCGGACAACTAAGTCCGCCAACACGCACAAAGTCGGGTCTAGAAGCACCAAGATTCGCACGGGCCGTCTCTCGCGCCGGCCTCCCGCTGCCGCCATCTCACCTCTCACTCCGCCTGTGAGGGCAAGAAAGTCACGGCGCAGTGCGGACCCAACGCTCTGCGCTCTGTGCGCGGCATTCTGCTGCGAGCCTTGACCATTGCGCCGTCCCAGATGTGGGCTCGCGCATAGACTTCTCGAACGCGATCTTTCGCAAGTCCACGACCAGGAACGAGGCCCCTGGAGCCCGAGAGCACTTGCGGCGGTCCACGATTGATCCGGACGGACAGTGAGCCCTTCCCGGAAAGGTCGAGGGTGAAGCGCAGCTCGTCCCCTGCCTTGAGCTCGGGGAGCTCGTGCTGCTGCCGAAGGCGGCCATCCACATACGCGCAGCCTCGGTCCGAGACGAGGTGCATGTGCCAGCCACTGTCGTCCACGTACTCAAGGCCAAACGCTGCCCACTGGTTTGGGAGCTTGGATGCTCGGTGCTCGGTGATGCGGCACGTCCACTTGAGTAGTGTTCCCGTCGGCATGCCCATGCCCAAGGAAATCCCGTTGTGCCAGGGCGCGGGCAACGCCATCGGCCGGCCAGCCCACGTGTACGCGTTCTCGTCGACGGCCAACAGGTCCAGGTCCATCGGTGATAGCTTGACGCAGAATGACTTCTGGGTGCACGAAAGAGCCTGGGCGTCGCGCAGGTCCAGCAAGTCCAGCAGCAAGCGCCTCTCGTCAAAGCGCATGGCGTCGAACAGAAGCTCGTGAAGCTGCATCGTTGCCGCCTGCCTCGACTCCAGTCGCCGCGTTCACAGCCTTGTTATTGACAAGAAAATACGTGGTATGGCGCTATGCGCTGGTCTGTGAGAGGTTGAGGTGCGAGCCCTGGAGGCCCTGGGGATGGGGTGAGACTACCCGCGGGCCTAGAAGGCCCGCGCGCAGGGGGGTGGGACATTGAGACCGGTCATGCATGAATGAGTGCGCGACACGCATGTTGCGAGCAGCGTTGTTGATGTTTTGCGCGTCGGCCTTGTTTTGAGAAGAAAAAAAGCAATATGCATAGGGCCTAGAAGGCCCGCGCGCAGGGGGGGGGGGGACATTGAGACCGGTCATGAATGAGTGCGCGACACGCATGTTGCGAGGCAGCAGCGTTTTGTTGATGTTTTGCGCATCGCCACAGACGGCGGCGCGAGAGAGCTGTTGCGAGTGGTGCTGGGCGAAGCCCCGGGCGCTGCCGGAGGCTGTGCCGTAGTCGGTGCGGTCGACGGCGCTCGGGCTGCCGACCTCTTTGGCGAAGTTGAAGATGACGTTCTCTTGGTCGGCGGCGCAATGCCGCCCTGGCTTTCGACGAGACAAATTTTGACGATTCCGTTCTTGACATGGAGGTCGTAGTACTGTCCCTTGTGCTCTTTGACCCAGCCTTTTGCCGGTCGCATGGACGAGCGGGCCCTGTGACTTGTGGCCGCGCTCTTTGCACCCAAGAACCTTTTGAGCAAGTTTGCTCGAGGGTGCTGCCGAGATGGGCGACGCACAAACACAGACACGGAGAGAGAAGAGACTCCTTATCACGTTATCAGCTGGTCGGCCGCCATGTGGGCCTCCGGGCCTGCTGCGGCGGCGCGGCCGGTTGAGGCCGGGCTCGGCTCGGCCCGCGACGGCTGGCCGCCGACGAGCGCGCTCGCGCTGCTCGTCAAAATGGCGGCGGTGGCGATTGCGGCGACGGTTCGTTCAGTCGTACAGCGCTCAGGCGTTTGTCGTCTGTCGTCTGTTGTCGCATTTCGCACACGCGCGCGCCGCGCGACCCGCGTCGCTCCGCGAGGGCATGAGCCTTCCGCGATTCGATCCCGTAGCCAAAAGCTGCTCGCTCGAACCGCGGCCGACTCCGCCATCGCGGTCGCAGCTGTCAAGCTCTCCAGAAGACTGGTGCCTCATATGCTGCCTCCCTGCGGATGCTGCCGGCGAGCCTGGCGGTCCGCTGTACTACACGTGCAAGCCCCACCCGGGCGACGGGTGGACCAAGGGGCGTTCCGCCCTGCTTGCTCTAGGTGAAACGTCTGAAGGACGAAGAAAGCCCAACTCAGCACGACGGGCGGAGAAGACGGGCACTAGACCAGGAAGGACTGGGAGAGTGTGAATGGAGGGACACGTGTGGTTCAGACGTCCCCCCCCTCGACGTAGTCGAGTCACTCACATGGATAGAGAGGAGAGTGTCCCTCTCGACGGGGCATGGACTGGATGACATGCACTGGAGAGTCTATGGCTCTCGCGGGTGGGGGCGGGGCGGCACTGTTCGCGCTCGCGGCCGGCGCCCGCGCTCCGTCTCGGTGACGGATCGGTGACGGAGATTCACTTCCCATCCACTCGAGAAGAGTGGCCAGGTTCGCCGCAAGCCCGTCGAGGGCGGCGGCACGGTCGAAACTGCATTCCGTCACCATTGCATCAGTTTCTTGTTTAGCGCCATGTAGGAGATCCCGAATTTCGGAATACTCCAAGGCTTTGGTGGGCGTGTCAGGCATGGCCTGAGCAGTGGATAGCGTGTCAGGCTTCACAAAGGGGCTGACGCGACCAGTCGAGTCGCTGCCACGTGCAAGCCCCACCCGGGCGACGGGTGGACCAAGGGGCGTTCCGCCCTACGCTCGAGCACGACGACCACGACCCCGGCCCCCTCGCAGAGCGCATCAGGCGCGACAAGCGCGAGCGGTCCGACCGCTCCTTCGACGACTCCTCCTCCGACCGCGACTCATGCGGCACCGGCTCCACTAGCGAGGCGAATGCACATATTCGACACCCTCGAAGACCATCTCGGCTACGGTTCCGACTCCGGCTCCGGCTGGTAGTCGACAAGCTGCCGAGCGCAAATCACGTGACACATTTCTTGTTGGCTTAGGTAGGTAGGTAGAAAGGTGAAGAACAGCCAGGCTCGGCTTCTTAAAATCTCTCTCACATTGAAAAGAAACTCTGCATCGGAGTGACACACGCCTATCTTCGTGCATCCTCACTGCGGTGTCATGATCCGCTCCACGGTGACGCGCCTCCGCTCGTCTGCCGGCCTCAAGGTCGCCGCCGCTGGCGCCGCCGCTGCCGCCGCGGCCTCCTTCGCCATGCCTGCTGCCGAGTGTCAGAGCAAGGACGGCGCCTACGTCGAGATCCGAAGCTCGATATTTGTAATCAACGGCTTCTACATGGCTATGCGCGAGAAGTACACGAAGCCCAGCGCGTCCATTTACTACTACCTCGTCGAGTGGGACCCCGCGAAGCTCTCCTGGGGCGACTTCCGCGAGAAGGTGCTCGGAGGGACCGACCCAGCGATGGCGGCCGACGGGAGCGCACGTGAGAGCTACTCGTTGAGAGCTACTCGTGAGAGCTACTCGTTGCTCCGTCTTCACCCCGCGAGCCCGCGTCGTAGGCAAGGAGATCTTCGCAAAGTGGAAAGCGCTCGGCCTCGCGTCCGAGCCGAACGTCGGCGACAACGGGATGCACGCGTCCGCCTCCCCCTTCGAGGCGATGGCGGAGCGACTCAACTGGGTCGGCGCCAAGCTGGAGGAGGACGCGTTTGGCAAGGCGATGCTGCAGGCGGGGATCCCGCGGGCGACGATCATGGAGTGGACCAAGGACCCGCAGGTGGCCTTCGAGGGGAAGAAGCAGTCGCTCTTCGACCTGCTCGAGGACCTCGACTACGCCGACTGCCTCGCGAAGGCCCAGAAGATCGCCGGCGTCAGCGGCAGCGTGCCGGCGGGCAAGAGCCAAGCCTTTGTCTTTGTCAAGCCGCACGCCGTCACCGACCCGGTCAAGGCGCTGGCCAAGGAGAAGCTCGCCGCCGCCGGCATCACCATCGCGGCCGAGGGCGCGCTCGCAGGACCGCAGATCGCAAAGGACCTCCTCATCGACAACCACTACGTGCGACCCGACGCCTCGCCGCCGCCGCCCCGGCCCGCCGCCGCCGCCGCCGCCGCCGCCGCCGCCGCCGCCGCCGCCGCCGCCGCCGCCGCCCCGGCCCGCCGCCGCCGCCGCCGCCGCCCGCCGCCGCCGCCGCCGCCGCCGCCCCCCGTCCCCACCGCCTCCGCCTGCCGGCACCCCGCTCAAGCCCGCCCCCGTCTCCCCTTGCCCCCTCGCCGCAGTACGCCATCGCAAACAAGGCCTCCCTCACCAAGCCAGCCGACCTCAACCCGCCCGCGCCAAAGCAGCTGCTCTTCGCCGACAAGTTCGGGATCACGTGGCAAGAGGCGCCGGGCCGGCCGCGGTCGGGCCGGCCGCGGCGCCCTCGCGTCACCGGCGCCCCCGCGTCGGCCGCAGGCGCTCTCCGACGGCGTCGTCTACAACGCAGTCGACGCGTGCGAGCGGCTCGGCGTCGACGGCGACCAGATGGACAAGCTGTGGGCAAATGCAAAGAAGAGCGACAACCTGGTCAAGTTCGGGGGAGGCTTCTACGCGGGCAAGATCCCGGCGCCGATGCCGTCGCCCAAGAAGAAGAAGGGGCTCATCACGCGCACGTCGGGCGACATGAGCGTCTTCAGCTCGGGCGAGAGCGTGCTGGACGCCGTGTTTGGACCCGAGGGCGGCAAGATGCTCTGAGCCAGGGCAAGATGCTCTGAGCCAGGGTGTGGCCGGCGCGGCCGGGGAGGGTCGCAGCCCGAGTCTGCTAGCCCGCCACTTGCCGCTCCGACCTCTCTCTCTCTCTCTCACCCTCTCCCTCCCTCACCTCCCTCCCTCTCCTCTCGGCCTCTCTCTCTCGCTCTCTCTCTCTCTCGCGCGCGCGCTCTCTCTCGCTCTATCCCGCTCTCTCGCTCTCTCCCGATCTCTCTCGGTCTCTCTCGATATCTCTCGGTCTCTCTCGGTCTCTCTCCCTCGGTCTCTGCTGTCGCACATGTATTCTCGGTCTAGCCCGCCGAGTTGTCGACGTGAGGGTGTACGGGACCTTCGGTGTCTCTCGACCCCTTTTGTTGTCGTCTCCGTCTGCTTGAGGTCTCTGTGTCCGTGAGACGATGCCCATTGTACTGAGCTGCTGAGCATGTCATCAGGGGAGCATGTCTTGGCTCGTTGTCCTTGTTTTTAGTATTCAAATTGAGAGTAGCTGTAGCAGCGCCCACAAAGCGCAGAGGTATATTGCCATTAGTCTTTGGTGCGCTTGGAGCATGGAGGTGGTGCTTAGAGCTTAGCGTGGCGCGTTTTCCGCCTGACGTTTTTAAGGTTGGTCGTGTGTGATCTCTCAAGATAAAAAAACGCTTCGTCACCCTCTCAGCACTCGGCGCAGCCTCGTGGAGCGCTCCGTGCTGCGGTTGAGCGTTCCGTCTATGCCGCTCGACCTAGAGACGCAGCGGCTCCTGAAGCGCACGCTCGAGACGCACAAGGCCGCGGCAAAGGCCGTCTGCGACAAGGAGGCGGCCAAGGCGCGCCCAGCGCCAGCAGCCGCACCTCGGCTCAAGGCGGCGAAAGCGCCTCTGGGGCGCCGGGCGCCGTCGGCAGCGGAACGCGCGAACTTTCTGTCGAGCGACCCGTCCCGAATTTATGCGGCACCGCGGGCATTGGGAGCCCCTTCGGCGGCAGCGCGGCCTGATGACGGCGGCGGCGGCGGCGGCGAGCTCGATCTGGAGCTGCGGAACCTGTCGAAAGCCGTGGAGGCGCTCGGCTCGACGCGGCTCGAGGGTCTGGCCAAGAAGGACCACGCGGCGCGGCAGCGCAAGCAGCTGGCGCTCAAGCCTGCCAAGGAGCAGAAGCGGCCCTACACGCAGCTCGTGGCGCTGCGTAAAAAGCAGCGCTCGCAGGACCACGCAGCGGCTGAGCTCGCCCGCGAGGCGGGCAACACCGCGCGCCGCTCCACCATCGGCGGTGGTGAGCTCGGCGTGGCTCCGCAGCTCAAGCGGCGCAAGCCGGCCGGACTGCTCGATGCGGACGCGCGCGACGGGGTGATGCACGTGAGCCGGCAGACGATCCGCAAGGTGCAGTTCCAATCCCGAGTGGCGGCTCGCGGCGGCAGGGGCGGCGGCAAGGGCGGCGGCAGGGGCGGCGGCAAAGGAAGCGGCAGGGGAGGGAAGGGCGGTGGAAAGGGCGGTGGAAAGGGCGGAGGCGGCAAAGGACGACGGTAGTAGGTGAGCTGTGAGCTGTGAGGGTCCGCACGCAGAGGCGCGTGGTAAAATTTTATATCCCCGGGAGGCGGTGCTAAGAAGAATCAGGTGAGTGTAGTGGTGTGGTACCGCGCAAGCTATGCGCCTCTTGTCCCGTGAAGCACTTGGAGCGTATAATATAAAGCTCGAAACACCAAAAGAAACGCGCCGGCCGCTCGTGCGTCGAGGTGGGAGGTGGGAGGCAGTGTGGGAGAGGGACCGTCGTCGTCGCTCGTCGGAGAGAGTAGAGAGAGGGCCAAAACGAGTAATGGAGAACAGGATTCCTCGACGTGTAGGTAGGTAGGTAGAAAGTGAAGAGCAGCCAGGCTCGGACTGGACACCAACGCGAGGAAGAGTCCTTATCAGCTGGTCGGCCGCCATGTGGGCCTCCGGGCCTGCTGCGGCGGCGCGGCCGGTTGAGGCCGGGCTCGGCCCGGCCCGCGACGGCTGGCCGCCGACGAGCGCGCTCGCGCTGCTCGTCAAGATGGCGGCGGTGGCGATTGCGGCGACAAAAGTCCAGGCGTACAGCGCTCAGGCGCCTGTCGTCTTTCGTCTTTTGTCGCATTTCGCACACGCGCGCGCCGCGCGACCCGCGTCGCTCCGCGAGGGCACGAGCCTTCCGCGATTCGAACCCGCAGCCAAAAGCTGCTCGCTCGAACCGCGGCCGACTCTGCCACCGCGGCCGCAGCTGCTGAGCTCTCCAGAAGACTGGTGCCTCATATGCTGCCTCCCTGCGGATGCTGCCGGCGAGCCTGGCGGTCCGCTGTACTACAAGGATGTGCTGACTCGATTCTACCTCGAATTCTTCTACCCCCGCGACCCCACGAACGAATGTGACAGGACCATCGGGTCCTTCAGCCACCAAAGCGTGATCACCCGAGAGCAGCTGAGCCTGCCTCTGGCCTCGCCTCCCTCTCCTTGCAGGCATTCGTGGCATCCGATGGGTCGCCCAGAGTATCGACCTCTGGCGGGTCAGCCAGCCCCACTTTGAGGGCGCCATGAAGTACAGCGATCGCCACCTCGCTGGCCTCTCCGCAGGCCCCCCCGACCGCGTCGAACTCATCGGCGCGGGCTCTCTCGGCTACGGGACCGGCCCCAGCTTCGGCTGAGGGCTAACAAGCTGCCGAGCCCAAATCACTGTGAGAGTCGTGATTTCTTGTTGGTTAATAAAAATCTCTCTCTCTCCCAACGCGGTATGGGTGGACGCGAGACAGATGATACGAGCGTCACTTTGTACCCACCCCCCCTACTTCGTGGGGACCCCCCCGCCGGTCGGTGGTCTGCCCCCGAGGTGGACCGGACCCCCCCTCCGGTCGGTCGCTCTCTCGGCGGCGGGAGGTGTGACGACCCTCGACCGACCCCCCCCTCGGTCGGTGTCCTTGCCGTGAGCCCCCTGAAACGCTCTCCCTCCTTCTCGCGAACCGCCACGGGCGCTTCGAAATCGCCGGGTTTCACTATGAAAACTAGTCACGCAGCCAAGCGCCAAGGAGACTTCTTCGCCGAGGCCCGAGCGAGCCCGACCCCACACATACATGATGTGGAGCATCTACGCAGTCGCAGGCCTGGTCCTGCTTGCCGTCACTTTGTACAAGCTCTGGCAGCGCTCCAGTTCTCCGCAGTACGCGCGCATCGTCCCTTCCGATGACTACGATGACTTGCCAGACTTGATCGACACATCGCCGCCGCCGTCACCGGGCTCATCGGCTTCCGAGTCGCCCAAGCGACAGCGAATGGCAATCGATGGACGCCGCTTCTGGAGCAACTCAGTTAATCGCGACATGCTGCGCGTTGCGCGCGGGCAGAGCTATGCCGGCAACATGATCTGCCTCGCACCCGGTCTTCACGTCTCCAAATTTTCGCGCGGGCAGAGCTAGGCGATCCGTCCGATTCGGAGAACGAGGGCGAGGGCGAGGAGGAGGCGGAGGCGGAGGAGGAGGCGGAGGCGGAGGACGAGGACGAGGACGAGGACGAGGACGAGGACGAGGACGAGGACGAGGACAGCGACAGCGGCGACACACCCCTCAAGCTACAGATCAACCTCACGACGGAGGTGGAGAGGGAGGTGGACCTCTTCTTGGAGTCGGAGAGGAGGAGCAGTTCACCTTCGACCCTTCGAGGAGTTCTACTGCACGCTGCCCCCGTGGGCGCGCGGCCGGCAGAAGGAGGTGCTGGCCGCGCTCAAGCGGCTCGTCAACGGCTACAGTGTGTCGCGGGCGAAGCTAATCATGGACGACGACGACGACCAGAGCGTGGACATGGACGAGCTCGTGTTCCGACCCAATCCTGAGCGCGGTCTCGAGCTCAGCAACTCTGACGACGTCACGAGGAGTGATTAGACGGGGAGAGGTCGCTTGGTGTCTCTAGTATTTCGAGATACTAATTTATTCACAGCGTCGGTGTGCGGTGTGACCCTCGAGCCAACCCGACCGACCCCCCCCTCGGTCTGCGCTCCGACCGAACCGGACCCCCCCTCCGGTTTGCGGTCTTCCGCGGCCGCCGACCGGACCCCCCCTGCGGTCGGTCGGTCTGCGCTGGGCGCTCAAACCGCGAAGTCGGCCTGTTCACTACAAGATGACGCTCGTATGATGACGACACGCACGAGCGACACACAGACGCAAACAAGCTCACAAGACACACAGCCAGCTGGCTGCCACACACCCTGAGTTGGCGTACACATAACTCAGGGCCACATTCTTCCTGTCGCCCCCCCCAGCACTCCAAGGTGCCAAGAGAAACAAACAAGACGCTCCCTTTCCAGCACCCGCAGGAGCCCGAACCCAGTCTCTCTCCGGCTGAAAAATGCTGTGCCTTTTCGTCGGCCCCGTCGGCCTCGACAACGGCGTCGGCCTGCGTCCGGCGATGGGCTACAACACGTGGAACGATCTCCGGTGTGAGGGAGTCACCGCCGACGCCATCGATGCGATCGCGGTGGCGATGGTCGAGCTGGGGCTGGCAAAGCTGGGCTACGCGTATCTCAACGTCGACGACTGCTGGGCGACGGCCACCGACCCGAGCGGCGAGCTCGTCGCCGACCCGGCCGCCTTTCCAGACGGGCTTCCGGCCCTCGTCGAGTCGGTGCACGCGCGCGGGCTGCGGTTTGGGCTGTATGGCGACCGTGGGTGGAAGACCTGCGCCTTCCGGCCTGGATCGGGCGGGCTCGAGCCGGCGCACGCGGCGCAGTTTGCCCGCTGGGGCGTCGACTACCTCAAGTACGACTCGTGCTGGGCCTCGAACGACCACGATGCGGCCTTTGAGCAGTACGGCGCGATGCGGGACGCGCTCAACGCGAGCGGACGGCCGGTGCTCTACTCGCTCTGCGGCTGGAATGCGTGGTACGCGCCGCGCGGCGCCGAGCTCGCAAACAGCTGGCGCATCGCCGCCGACTGCGACGAGTGGGCCAACGTGTACGTGGCTGTGCGAACTAACGAGGCGCTCCTCTCCGGCCTCGCAGACACCTCCAAGACAACTTCCAGACTCTTCCTAGACACTTCCTCGAGCTCTACGAGGCGCTCCTCTTCGGCGTCGTTTCCCACGCCTCGCGTCACCTCCCCCAACTCGCCCCCCCCGCCTCGTTTCTCGCCTGCCTCGCGGCCCTCTCACCCTCCGCGCCTCGCCGGGTCCGCAAAGGCGCTCGGCCAGCACGCGGCGCCGGGCGGCTTCAACGACCCTGACATGCTCCTCGGCTCAGACCCGACCGCGCCGGCGCACCTGACGCCGCGGCAAGTGCAGGCGCAGTTCTCGCTGTGGGCGGTGATGGCGGCGCCGCTGCTGATTGGCGAGCAGCGACACTTCCTAGACACTTCCTAGACACTTCCTAGACACTTCCTAGACACTTCCTAGACTGCTGATTGGCGAGCAGCGCCGCCGAGCGGGGCAGAGGCGGCGGGTGTTTCCGAGTCTGCGCGCCCCTCGTTAGGCTCTCGGCTGCGCTCGATGCCTGCCTCTGACCTCGCGACCTACTCCAACCCCGAGGTGATTGCAATCAACCAGGACGCCCTCGGCAGGCGAGCCGCCGCCCCACACACCAGCTCCCGCCCACCTCGGCTGCGGGCGAGGAGGGGCGCGCTTCACCGCGTCAGGCAAGGCGAGGTGGTCTGGTCGAACTGCCCGCCGTACGCGCCGCGCGACAACTGGTGGAACTCGCCCTGGTCGATGCCGCGCGAGGTTGCCGTCGCCTGGACGTCGGTCCTCGTCACCGCCGCCATGCTCTCCGCCACCTCCGCCCTGCTGCTTCGCCGTCGCGCGCCTCGCACCGCACGCCTCCTGCTCCGCCTCGCCGCCTGCTGAGGACGTGTTCTAAGCCGTCCGGGCCCTTCCCTCAGGCGCGCCTCATGCTCGTCTTCGCCGCCTGCTGCACCGGCTACGTGGGCTGGATCTGGTGCCACCGGCCGCGGCTCGACGCTTGCCAGCAGGCGCGCTGCCCGCTCTCCTCCTGCCCCTCCCCCCTCGCCGCGCTGCCCTTACCCCCCGCGCTTCCGCAGGTGTGGGCCCGCCCGCTCGAGGACGGGTCGCACGCCCTCTGCTTCGTCAACTTTGCTCCGCACGCGGCGGTCGTCGGCTGCGACAGCGCTTGCATGGCCCGCGCCGGCATCCGCAGCCCCGTGACAGTGCGTGACGCAGTGCGCCAGCGGGCCACCGACTTCGGCCAGGTGCGGCAGGTCGACGCGGTGCATCTCCCAGCCGACGGTGGCTCGGAGCTGTACCGGCTGACGCCGCTTTCTGTGTGACAGAGCAGCGCGCCGCCAGTGGCGTCGCACTCAGCTTCGGCAGCCTCGAGCGAAACAGAGGTGCGTGTGTGTCCGTGTTACCCGGTGCTGAGTCGCTCGGCTCGGCTCGGCTCGCGCAATCGGCGGTCTCGGCTCTAGCCCGTGTGTTCGCCCGCGTGATGGACCCGCGGCCGCGCTCTCGTGATCGGAAAAAGCGAAGTGCGCTGTTGAGCGTCCGTCTCTTCGGGCGCGCGGACCGTACGACCGTCGACCGAGGCGATTCCGGGCTCATCTCTCGCGCTGTTTCTCTCGGGGCTCGATACGCACTAATAGTGTGGCGCCTCGATTTGTATTGTTGAGATTTGTTCAGCTTCACCGTCAGGCTCGCATGCGCGGACCTGCCGACGGCATTCGCGAGAAGCGGCTGCGGACCTGTCACCGCTGCTACGTGTCAGCAGTGGAGAGCTGAGGCTGGACGCTGGAGAGCGCGGAGACACAAGTTCTCAGCTGTCCGCCAGCTCCTGGGGTTTCCCCCGCAGGAAGCTAAAGTAGGTTGTGAATCCGAAGGAGACGACGGCGACGAAGGGCACCCGAGCGTGGATGGGCAGGATCGAGAAGTTGAAGAGGAAGGCGGGGACCCAAGTGCTCCAGCAGACGAAACAGTCCTCGCGTAAGTTGGCAAGATACTTGCCGCGCGCGGCCGCGAACTGCGATGCGCGAAGCTGGCCCGCCTCAATGGCCTCCTTGACGCAGTAGAAGCAGGGAAACAGCATGAACGGGTGGTGCAGCAGCTGATCGAGCGCAACCTGCTTGATCACTGTCAGCTGGCCTGCGCGGTCCGCGAGCCGCTCCCGCAGCGGCTTAGCGACAAAGGCCGCAGCGGAGGGGAAGAGAACGCGCGAGAAGAGGTGGACGTAAATAAAGTACTGGATTCCGCCCAAATAGAAGCCCCCCCAAGCCACAAAGATTGCACTGCGCCGGCGGTCGAGCGTCTCGCGCTTCTCGAGCCAGATCTGCGCCATTGCGTCGGCAGCGCCCGTTTTGAACGCAGAGATGGCGACGCCGAACTTGAACGGGTGCAGCCGTGACAGCGCCTCCGCGCGGCTCAGGCCAGCCACGAACATCGTCAGCACGGCTCGCCGGCGCGCCGCCGGACGAAATTAGTGTGGCGCGCCACGGATGCTCCGGTCGGGGGTGGGCTCTTGCAATATTGAAAGGCGGCGCACCCGTGGAAGGCACATGCACATGCTGCGCTCCTTGGGCCGCCGCAGCCTGATCGCGCCGCTCCGCAGCTTTTCCAGTGTGCGGCAGCCGTCCTACGATGCCGTCATCATCGGCGCCGGCGTGATTGGCACCTCCATTGCGACCGAGCTCTCGCGGCACGGGTGGCGGACGCTCAACGTTGACAAGCTCAGCGGCGTGGGGCTGGGGTCAACGTCCTACTCGTCGGGAATCCTGCGGATGACGTACTCCGTCCTGGACAGCGTCAAGTTCGCGTGGGAGGGCTACCACTACTGGCAGTCGTGGGAAGACCACATTGGCGTCGAGGACGAGAAGGGACTCGCGCAGCTCCGGAGCTGCGGCCAGGTCATCATCCGCTCGGCGGAGTCGGAGGCCTTCATCACCAAGACGCTCGCGTGCTTCGACAAGCTCGGCCTCCCGTACGAGATGTGGGACAACGCCGAGCTGCAGCGCCGCCTCGGCTTTGACCTCACTTCCTACGCGCCGCCGCGCCGCATCGACGATGACTCGTTCGGCGAGCCCAACGGGCGCGAGGTGGACGGCGCCGTCTACTTCCCGACCGCCGGGTACATCTCGGACCCTCAGTTGGCCTGCCACAACCTGCAGACCGCCGCGCTCGCCACGGGCCGCGCAGAGTTCGCCTTTGGCCAAAGCGTCGTCGAGGTGACGCGCGAGGCTGGCCGCGCGAGCGGCGTGCGGCTCGCCGACGGGACGGTGATCAGTGCGGGCGTCGTGGTGAACGCGGCGGGGCCCCACTCGTCCGCTATCAACGCGCTGGCCTTCCCTGACCCGGCCGAGAACGACATGCGCATCGCGACCCGCCCGATGCGTCAGGAGGTGTCATACGTTCCATCGCCGCCCGAGATTGACTGGTCGGACGGCGGCGCGGGCATGGTGGTGACCGACCCGGATACCGGGGTGTACTGGAGGCCCGAGGTGGGTGGCAAGATTCTGTGCGGCACTGTCGAGCCGCCGTGCGACGCGAGCTTCCACCGCTACCCGGAGGACCCGGAGTCGGTCTACCCTGGCGGCGCCGAGAGCAGCCTCACCGAGCAGTGGACGAATCAGGTGTACCGCGCCGCGCTGCGGATGCCGACGCTGCCGCTGCCCGACTCGGCGAACACGCAGGGCGTCGTGGCCTGCTACGACGTCTCCGACGACTGGACGCCCATCTACGACGGCTCAGCCCTGCCGGGCTACTACATGGCGATTGGCACGAGCGGCAACCAGTTCAAGAATTGCGGCGTCGCCGGCCGGCTGATGCGCGAGCTCATCACTGCGCGAGAGGCACGCCGCGCCGCCTTCGCCGCACATGTCTCTTGAGTAGTACTGACGGATCTGGCTCTTCGCACAGGCCGGACAAGACCTCGACGCCCACCCGCTTCAGCTCGCCCTGGAGCGGGTGCCGGGGTGCGGCACCATCGACACCGCCGCCTTTTCGCGCCTGCGCACGTCGCACAGCTCGGCCAACAATGTGATGGGCTGAGCCGGGTGCGTACGTGCCTCGAAAGATACCGCTGGCCAGCCACGCAATCGTGCAGAGCGAGAGAGATGCACGCTGACGGCGCGACGCGGCGCGCCCCGCGCAGGCCGAGGGGTGTTACGTATATGAGTACTGAGTACCAGCCCAGTCAATGCTGAGATCACACACATCTCGCGCGGCTGAGGCGGCAGTAACCGCGGGCATGCGCACACACACCGCCGACACCGCGCACTCTCTCGTCGGAGAAGTCGCCGACTGGGTGGCCACGAGCGCGGTGCACGCACATGCACATATACGTACTCGCGCGGCTCCGCTCAGCTGATGCTGCTACATCGCGAGAGGGGGCAGTGGCTCGTCGGGTTGCGTCCATGTCGACAACTTGGCCTTCTCCGTCTCGAGCTCAAACCGAAGCGCCCCATCGGGCAGTGCCTCGCCCGCGGGATCAGCGCCTCCCTTGTGGACGTGCACCGAGAGCCGACGAGCCTCGTCTCCCACGAGGGCCCGCCGGGCCCACTCCGCGAGCTCCGACTGCGAAGTGGCCCGCATGAGCTCCGCCTCCCGCTCGGCGCGGTCGAAGACGAAAGTCCGCGCCTCGATCTCGGGGAAGTAGCGCGCCGCCTCCTCTGCCAAATTACGGTCGCGCTGCAGCCGGTTCGCCACGGCCGCCTCGACATTCTTGGCGAACTCCGTGGCGGGCATCGCGGCGAGGGAGTCGAGAAAGGAAGCGAGGAACTCACCGATGCGGCTCTCGATCTCGAGCGGGAGGTGCGTCGCCGAGACCACCGTCACGGTGAACCCGAGCATCTGAAACGTGTTGCGCGCGCAGCAATGCACCGTGTAGCCGAGCTGCTGTTTCGTGCGCAGCGCGTCAAAAAGAGGCTCGTACATCAAATGCTCGAGGAGCGTCAGCCGTGCGGACAAGCCGTGCTCCGACGGCCCGAGCTGCCAGTACGTCTCGACGGCGGAGTTGGAGTCGGTCGGGTTCTTCGCGCCGACCGCCCACACCAGCCAACAGCTGCCCTCGTCAGCAAGCAGCATCACCGTGTTGGCGTGCACGTCGCTCTGTTGGAGCGGCGGCGGAGAGCCGAGAGCGGCATGCATCGCCTTGCTGAAAGAAAGGGCGACCGCCGCGTCGACGTTGCCGCCGAGATAGGTCGAGATGTAGGCGCCGCCGCCGAGGGTGTCCGCGACAAAGCCGGCGAGCTGCTGCGGCGTGAGCCCTCGCACCGCGCGCAGCATGTCGTCGTAGTGGAAGAACGAGGCCTCGAGCACGCGGCGACGTTCGTACGGCGCGCGATCGCCGACCTTGAAGCCTATAGAGGGAGGCGAGGGCCGCTTCGAAGCAGACGTGCAGCCAGCCGGTGCGGCGGGCTGGATCGCGCACAAGCGTTGCTGAGCCCCAGCTCGTACTGCTGCAGCACGCGGCTGAACGCCTCGCCCACCTCGGCGTCGTCTCCCCGCGTGGCGAGCGATGCGAGGGTCTCGCAGGCGCGCACGCCGAGCTGCGCCATCTTGTGCGAGAAGCCGTCCACCTGCAGCGCCCAGCCGCGGGGCGTGGCAAAGATCTCGAGGCCCAATCCACCGAGCGAGGCCGAGTAGCTCTCCTCGTTGAGCAGCTCGGCGCACACCTTGGCCGCCAGCTCGCCCAACAGTCGCCGCTCGATCGACGCGCTCGCGCCCGGCGTACCGATCTCGAGCGCGACCACACCCTTCGGCGCGAAGAACCGGCTGTCGGGCAAGCAAAAGACGCAGCCGGACGGCGTGCTCTCCAGCAGCGACGGCGGCGAAGGCTTGCTCGACGGATCGGCGCCTCCGGCGGGCGGCGGGCAGAGGAGGGAAAGGTCGGTCGGGATGTAGGGGTTCGGCTTCGGCAACGCAAACAAGGCGGCCCAAGGGGCGTCGCCCGGACCGCCACCCGCGCCCGCGTAGGCTTCGTCCCACAGACTGCGCCGCTCGGCGCTCAGGGGCGGGGAAACGCGAAACTGCGTGTCGAACCATGGCTCGACCTGCCACTCGCCGCCGGGGCCGGCCGCGTCGCCGCCGTCGCCCGCCGCGCCGCTCTCGGCGATCACGACGGTGAGGAGGAGGCTCGAGGGCGTGAGCCGCGAGAGGAGCTCCTCGACCAGCTCCGGCCGCCACGCGGAGAGGAGGTGGTCGCCGGACAGCACCGCGTCCGGCTCGGGCGGGTAGAAGGGCTGCGCCATCGAGAGCGCGATCCGGCGGCAGTAGTCAACCTCGGGCTCGCTCTCGGCGAACTTGAACCTGAGGGCCGCGAGGCCGCGCAGCTCCTCCTGCACCCACGCCTGCGGGCCCGCCCGGACGAGAAAGCCGAGGAAGGCGAGGACGGCGGCCACGACGGAGTCGAGCTCGCTCGCGCCGCGCGGGGTCAGGTCGACCGACACGGCGAACTCGGCCGCGGCGGAGGTGTCCTCCTGCAGCCCCGCCGACAGGTCGGTCGCCAGGCCGGCCGCCTTGAGTGCGGCGAGGCAGGAGCCCGCGCCCTCATGGCCGAGGAGGTGCGCCACGTACTCTGCCGGCCGGCAGCGGTGGTGCTCCTGCAGCGACGGCACGAACCAGCTGAAGTCGATCCGCCGCACGTCCTTGAGCGGCTTGACGCGGACCTCGAGCGGCAGCCGGTGCGGCGCAAACGGCGGCGGCCCCGACGAGAAGCGCGGCCTGCTCGTCTGCTTGTTTGGGATGGCGCCGCACGACTCGAGCGCCCAGAGCTGCAGCTCGTCGAGCGGCTCCTATGGCAAGGTTCCGAGAAGGTCTCGAGAGGGGGACCCCTCCTCCGCCCGCAGCCGCAGCCGCGTCGGCTCCTTCCCTAGAACGACGGCGCTCATGCGGCCGGCCGAGTAGTGCTGCGCGTGGAACTGCCGCATCTCGCGCTGCATGTCGACGCGCGCCGCCGCCGGCCGCTCGACGAGCGAGCGCCGGTCGCCCCAGCCAAAGGTGTTGTACGGGTGCGCCTCGTCGATCAGCGCCGCGTGGACCTGCGCCTCGCGGTTGCTGTCCGACGTCTTTGCCTGCTGGAACTCGGACTCGATCGCCTTGACCTCGCGCTCGCTCGAGCCCCACGCAAAGCGCGGCGCCGCAAAAAACTGGCAGAAGCGGTCCAACCCCTCGCGCAGGTAGTTTGGGTGCACGTCAAAGTAGAAGCACGTCGTCTCCTGCGGGGGGCGAGGAGGCCGGCGCCATGAGAGAGAGAGGCGGATGGGCCGGACGGAGGCACCTCCCCCGCCCTGCCATCACCGCGTCCGTCTCGCCGTTGTCTTCTCCGCCGTGCGAGCTCAGGAAGGCCGCCCACTCGTTCTCGTCCGGGTACTTTTCGGTCCCCATGAAGACCATATGCTCCACAAAGTGGGCGAGGCCGTTGGCATTCGGAGGGTCGCTCAGGTAGCCCACGCCCACGCAGAGGGCGAAGGACGCCTTCTTCACCGAGTCCGCGCCCTCGCCCTCCGAGTCCGCGCCCTCGCCCTCCTCCTCGCCCTCCTCCTCGCCCTCCTCCTCGCCCTCCTCCTCGCCCTCCTCCTCGCCCTCCTCGTCGCCCTCCTCCTCGCCCTCCTCCTCGCCCTCCTCGCCCTCCTCACTGTCGCCCTCGCCCTCGTCCTCATCGCCGTGGCCGTCGCCGGTGTCCTCCTCCGCCGACATCTGTGGGTCGGATATCAGCAGCACGCGCATCGCATTCGGCAGCTCGACCAGCCTGTAGCTCCGATCATCAGTCGACGGCTTGGCAAGCGCCTCTCCCTCGCTGAGCACGCGCACGGGTGGCGGCGTCCCTCGTGCCCGCTTAGCGCTTGCTGACGGCGGGCGCATGCGCAGCGGCAGCACGGACAACGGCCACGCGAGCAGCAGCACGAGAACGGCAGGCAGGCGCGCAAGCGACAGCGTCACACTGAATTTTCTCTCTCTCAGTGTATGTAGCTCTTACGTACATTCGCTGACAGGGTCTGCGATGAGGAGCGACCCGAAGGGTTTCTCGGAGGTTAGTGCACCACTAACCGCCGAAGCGCAAGCGCTGGGAGCAAGAACACTACGACCTGGGTCGGGCTCATACTAGCACCCCACCTCGCGAGCCGACGTTCTGGCTCAGCGAGGCTGCTGCGGAGCACTCGCGGACCGGTTCTTCTGGTCCAGCGAGGCCGTTTTTTAGTCTTTTGCAGGGCTTTCACACTGACTCGCGCCACAAGGCGAGTATACTCGAGTGGCAGCTCAATTTCTTTCTCGCTACAAATGTTCCAGCTCTCTCTCTTGGCGTACTCCTTCGCTCCGCCTGCCAGGTGCCCTGCCGCTCCCTCGCTCTTCGGCGTCCGGCAGTCAGGAGCGACGGCTGCAACCGCGGCGTCTGTTTGGGAGCTCCCGTTGCCGTTCATTTGCGCGTGCGGGTGTGGTGGCAGAGTCCCGCTGTTCACATCGAGCTCCCAGGACAGAGGCGGCGCGGTGTCGGGCGCCTCGGTGGCGGCGCTCAAATTCTACAAGAGGTTCATCTCGCCACTGATCCCGCCAGGCTGCCGCTTCATACCCACGTGCTCCGAGTATGGACAGCTGGCCTTCAGGCAGTATCCGCCGCTGCAGGCTCTGGTTCTCACCGCGTGGCGCCTCGTACGCTGCAACCCTCTCCATCTGCCCAAGTGCGGCTACGGCGAGGACCTCCCTCGGTGGCCTCCACCCGCATACTGGGCGGGCACCGATCGGATTCGCACAGTGCTGGACGACGAGGAGAGCAGGCGAGCGGCCGAGTACGGCGATGACGCCGCAAGCCCTCTTCCGAACGGCGACCCGCTCGGAATTTATCCCTCTAGTTCTGCCTCGTCGGACCTGCGGCCTGGCGACGACGCAGAGGGTGAGTGACGGGGAGCGAGTATACGAAGTACGGCATGTGCATGTAGAGAGAGTCGCCCCTACTGGTTGTACTATACATCGCGATGTTATAGTACAACAAAATGTTGAATGTAATGAAACGGAAGCGCATGAATAGCGAAACGTGAGTAATGGGAGCGGACGCGCCGTGCGATCACTAAGCGTGTGTACAGAGCTCGAGATCAACTTCGCAGGACTGGAGCGTGGAGGTTGCCCGTGGAGAGGACTCCACACTCTCCAGTCTCCAAGAGAAAAGAGGGGAGTCGGCGCGCGCGGGAACGCCCACAATCCTCGTGCCCCGACCCGGGACCGACCGTCGGTGCGGGAGATGTGGGCTCTCCATTTCAGCTGGCCGCAGACGCGCGCATTATGTGCACCCCTGCCGCCGTGGCACGCGCCCTCCGCTCCAAGTCGTCGCTCCCGAGCGCAGAGGACGCCACGCCGCTCTCCAGCGTTCCGTCCTCCGCGCAGCACGGAGGCATGGCAGCCTCGATGGCCTCGATCAGACCCGCGACCACCTCCGGTGATCGCATGTCGTACCCGCGGCTCACCGCCGCCAATCGCACAGCCTCGGCGAGCCGCGCAAAGCCGACGTCGATCGATGGCATGCGGGCAAGCGCCGCGGGGCCCTCAAGAGAGTCTGCGTCAGCCAGAGGCTTCACAGGCTGCGTCGCTCTCGTGTGGAGGACCTGCACGGAGTAGTACACCACGCCCCCAACGCACACACACATTGCCGCCACCCGGTACGGAACCCGAACGTTGAGGGCAAAGAGCGTGCCAAACAAGGGCGGGCCGACGACGCGACCTAATCGCGCATCCGAGACAGCAATCGGGCCGATGAGGGCAATGAAGCCGGCGCTCGGCCCAAGCGCGCTGACCGGCAGAGTTCATCATCGAGGCGATGGACATCACGCGTCCCATGTTGGATCGGTTGGCGAGCTGGCTGAAGAAGGGCGTGACCGCTGCTGCGGAGAACGCGGAGCCGATTGCGCTCAGAGTGGAGAAGGCGACGTAGACGTACAGACTGGGGCCAATGACAGAGCCCCCGGGCTCGACCTTTGGCAGCAGCGAGTACCCTGCAAAACAGACGGTCTGCATGGCACAGCCCACCGACGCGGTGCGCATCAGCCCAAGCGACTGCTGGACGCGGTTGAAGAGGAACGAGCGGACGAGGATGGACACCACCGCTGAGTACATCATGACAAAGCCGTACCTGCGGCAGGAACCGCCGCGTGGAGGCGTGAGAAGGGAAGCGACAGTGATGACCGTCGCATGGGGCCGTTGCGAGGGAAGTGGGCACGGCCAGAGAGCTCACTCGAGGGAGCCAAAGCCATAGATCGCTTGCAGAAAGAGGGCGTTGCACGTCATGAGCGAAGCGCCAGCGATCGACATCATCAGTGTGCCTGCCGCGAGGATGCCAATGAGTGGCCAGTTGGTCCGGCTGCCGCTCGTGGGGGACTTGGACGCTGCAGAGGAGGGGCCGTCGTCGTCCTTCTTTTCGTAGGAGAACACCTCCTCTGGCGGCTTGAGCGAGACCGTGGCCATCACGAGTGCAAACAGCGATGTGCCCGCCCCGACCCAAAATGGCGCCCGTTTGTCCATCTGCGCAAGGCCAGCACCCACCCCCGGTCCAAACATGAAACAGAACTGGACGAGGGTTCCCACGTTTGCCATCAGCGCCGGTCGTTCGGCAGGCGCGGTGATGTCCGCGATGTACGCGTTGCACGCAGACATCGTACCTGAGCACGCCCCGATGAAGACGCGAGAGGCAAGCAGCAGCAAATACGAAGGCGCGAAGGACGACCCCAGCATTCCGACCATCGCGCCTCCCAGAGTCACGGTCAGGATTTTGCGACGGCCAATCCTGTCGCTCAGTGGGCCCATCCAGCCATTGGAGAGCAGCTGAGCAATGCCGAACGACGAGTAGAGGTAGCCGAGGGATGGAGCTGAGCCTCCCAGCTTGGCACAGATGTGATCGCTGCACTCTCCGTCCACGCATCCGCACACGGCTGTGACGTAGTAAGGCATAACGGGAATCGTGAGTGCAGTCGCCATCATATCGATGAACACAACCAGGTAGATTGAAAACAGCGCCCAGTCCCGCGGTGTCGGGTTCGTGATGCTAATCGGTAGCGCCATGCTTCTACGAGGGGTAAGAACGGCCCTGATGCTCACGATGCTGGTGGCGTCGGTCCTGGTTCTGCCGAAGAAAGGGCGACCTGATGCTCACGATGCTGGCGGGTCGGTCTGGTTCTGCCGAAGAAGGGGCCTGTCGGCTTTGGCTGCCGACACCAAATCCCGATCCATTTTCCGATCACAGCAGTCATCTTCGAAACAGCCACGAGCCACGTACAGAAACCCCTGTCAGTAGTCCACCATCGGGAGTACTCTCTCTTCTCTCTCTCTCTCTCTCTCTCTCTCTCTCTCTCTCTCTCTCTCTCTCTCTCTCTCTCTCTCTCTCTCTCTCTCTCTCTCGGTTATGTTCGTAGGAGCCCATTTAAAATAGAGAAAAAGTTATACGGGATGAGAGTCCGATGAGAGTCCATGTTCCCGGCGACACGGCCGAGTTGTGTGATCAAGTTGACGTAAAACGTCGCAGCCGCTCGTGCCTTGAGTTCGTCCCCGCACGCTCATAGCCGCACGCTCATAGTCAGCCATGGCCATGGCTGCCAAGGGCAAGGCGCCTCCGGCTATCCAGGTACGGCGAAGCCTTTCCCGTGGCAGCACGGGATCACAGCGTGGCATCTCCAAACGCACGACGCCAACCAGAGTCGGAAATGCACAGCCTTCGGAGGAGCCGTCGCCGGGGCAGGGCGAGCCGTCTGTGAACGCGTCCCTCAAGGCGGTTGCCTGGCTCGTTCGCCTTCGCAAAACGCCGCAGCGCCAGCTCCAGCACTACATCAGTCAGGGTGACAACCGCGGCAAGCTCTGGCGCGACATCGAGCGGTCAGCCCTTTTCCCTCAGCCCCTCAGCCCGTCAGCCCGTCAGCCAGCCCCTCAGCCCCTCAGCCCCTCAAGCGTGCAGGTCAAGCGTGCAGGTCAAGATGACGAGGCATGGAATCAACGAGGGGAGGGGCGAGAAGCGCGAGCTGCAGCTGCTACCTGATGGACTGATGTACGAACACGAAGGTGACATCATTGTCACACTATTGTGCCACACCCGGTGTTGCAACACTGCTCTTGACTTGCTTGATGTAGGCGGGAAGAAGCCCAAGTCCATCCCATACAGCGCGATCGAGTATGTTCATGCTGTGGGGGGAGCCAAGTCGCGCCGCTGGCGAATCAAGATGAAGAACGGGAAGGACCTTGATTTCACTGCGCCATCAGTCGACTGCCGTAATGCGTGGGTGTGGAGCGTGCGGAACAACGTGGAGACGTACGCTCGCCGGTTTTGCCTCGAGGAGGCGCACGGCACTGCCGCCTGGCGGGACGGTGCCAGCCGAGCTGTCTATTCCCCCGATCCTGCCCTGTCCCTGACAGCCAGCATTTCCATCTCCACGCAGGAGTGCACAACCACGGGGTCGACGATGTGGCGAACCAATTTGAGGCGACGAGTCTGGCCTCGCCCGTGAATGTGCGTCCGATGCAGAAGCTAGGGAAAGTGGCCGAGGGACGCGAGGAACCCGGATTCTAGAGCTCAGGTGCGTTGTCTACGGGTTCTCATTCTCGAGAGCCCGCTGCGACAGCCAAGGCCAAGCCAGAAGACCGATCGAGTGTGCAGAGCGCCGACGCGAGTTGCGTCGCTTGCGGCCTCCAGGCTCTCCACGCTCTCCGCCGCCAGGGGGAAATGGAGGAGCCGCCCGGATCGCGGCAGGGAGGGCGCGCGGCTACAAGAACGTGTCGTGTAAGGATGAGAAGTCCCACTTAAGTGACGGTGCGGTCGGGTGTGAGAGTGCCGAACTGCGAACACCAGTAAGCGTCGGGCCACGAGCGCGTGTGAGGGTGAGCCACCAGACGTGTCGTAAGCGTCAAGAGCGAGCGGTGCGCATGCATGCCACACCGCACGCCGCACACAAACGGTGTGCCCCCCCCCTCGCACGCGGCAGGCGGCAGGCCAGCACGCGGAGATTTTACGCCGGCTATGTGGCATCTCTCCAACACCTCTCGCCTCACTACTCTGTCGGAGTCGGTGTGTCGCGGGCGCGCCGTGGCACGCACGACGGGGAGAGAGCGACACAGAGTTATTTGGACGCGGGCTCTGACTGGGGTCCGTGCCCCAACCCCCGCGACAGCGTGAACCCAACCAGCGCCTCTTTCCACAGCACAGAGTACGGCTCTACACACACGAAACGTCCAACAGGAAAGTCCCAGGCAGTCTCATAATTGGCCCGATGCGCTGCAAGTCTCGTGCCAAACAGCATTCCGGCATTTCGGTATCAACGCACGGCTTGCGAGCAGGCAGCGCCTAGGGTTAGATTCGCGCGTAGCAGCACTCCTCGATCGGCGGCGGCACCCGCTGCCGGGAGGACTGTCGAGTGACAATCGCGACGGCCGCACCTCCAACTGCTGCACCGATTAGGATGGCGGCGAGAAATGGGCCCAGGCCGGAGCCCGGCGATGGGATGCAGAAGGGAGCGAGAAACAAGTCTAGCTCGCCGGTGACGCCATCAGTGACGCCGACGGTCGTGAAGGTGCCCGTCTGGTTGAGCTGCAGCATGCCGATGCGCGCAGTGGGGGGCGAGCTCGAGCCCGCCGGGAAGCTGATGGGGCCCGTGATACCGTCATACTCGATGGTGCGTAGCATGGTAATGAGAGAGCGGTCAGCGTCAGCAGAGGCGCCAGCCCGTGCAGCCTCGTAGACCAGGCCGACCAGGTCGAAGCTGTATCCGGCCCACGAAGCAGAGGAAGGGGCGTGCCCATGCTCCTCGCGGAAACGGTGCTCGAAGTGGCGCATCGCTGGCGACCCCTCGTACGGGCGTCCCAAGTACGTGACGTATCCGACCGCGGCTGTCGCCACTCGGCGCCCCCACGGAGACGTCCAGCCCCCAGTCGGGTGCACCTCCTCCGTCGCCAGCCAGGTGTATGAGGCATCGCTAGTCATGCCCAGCGCCGCCGCCGCAGCAAAGATGCACTGCGTTGAGGGACCCGTGGCCGAGACGACAAGTGTGCGCACTCCGCTGGCCCGCACGGACTCGACCGCTTGCTGCACAATAAGGATGTTACTCGCATTCACCGCACAGCCGTCGCCAATCAGTTCGCCAGTCGTCGGGTCGGTGCTCGGGAAGGCTGCCACTGCGGACACGTCGATTCCGGCGCGCCGCGCCGACGCCTTGACAACATCTACGCCCGAAAGACCAAAGGCGTCCTGGGATCCCAGTATGCCGATCCGCTTGTCAGTCGCGCCGCCGTACACAATGCGCTCGCGCACCACCTCTAGAAGCAGTGCCGCAGCGCGCGAGTCTGAGTAGACGGAGCGGAACACGTTCGGAGACTGGTCGAGCGCCGAAGTGGTGGATCCGGCAGACAGCAGCGGGATACGATACGGTGCTAGATACGCCGCGGCGGCCACCGCAACACGCGACCAGTCCGCGCCCAGAACTGCATCAACGCCCGCGTCCACCATGCGAGCAAGAGTGGCATTCAAGCCGGCGACGCTGCCATTGGTCTCGACGACACAGACCAGCTCCATCTGCACGGGCGTGTGCGACACAGCCTCGTTGAACTCTTGCACAGCCAGCTCGACTGCAAGCCGCATGTCATGACCCCAAGCGGCAGTGCTACCGTCGGGGTAGTAGGACGAGGCCAGGTACCCCATGCGGACGATCCGGGCGTTGCTGCCCCTTTCCCCTTGTGGCTCAGCCTGCTCTGACGCGGCAAAGGCGAGCAGCCCCTGCGAAGGCGACGCCGAGGTGTACACGCGCGCCTCCTCCAGCCCCCGTCCACACTCAGCCTCGTCCTCCTCCCACTCGCTCTCGCGCAACAGCTGCGTGTAGCTGGCACTGGCACCCTCCTTGTCGCCGGCGTGGACGAGGGCGCGCGCTCGCCCGAGCAAGCAGAGCGGCATTCGCGGGAAGGCGGAAGGTGCGAGGCAGCGCTCGAAGGCGGCGACAGCCGCACGAGCAGCCTGCGGTGCATGCCCGGTGGTGTTGCGTCCGAGCAGTAGCAGCCGCAGAGCACCCTCGAGCGCGGCGGATGGTAGGAAGAGAAGCGTCACCGACGGGGGCAGCAGCAAAGCAGTCGCACCATCCTCGATGGCGGCCGCCTCGCTAACAAGGCGCATCGCCGCGCTGGTGTTGCCATTGGCGAGAGCGACCAGACTCTGCACCTGCAGCATTAGCGCACGCACGCACGCCGCCTCGTGCCGCTGACTCACATCGTCATAGTGCTGCAGAGCCCGGCCGATGACGCTGAGCGAGAGAGCGACGCGCTCCGCGAGGCAGCCGTCCTCGGAGGAGCACGCTCCCTCGATGAGGCCCTCACGCGTCTCAGCCGGAAGAGGACGCAGGACAGGGCCTTGCCCGCCACCGGGGCTGGAGCGAAGCTGTCGCTCGACCAGCTCGTAGAGAGATGCGAGGGCGTAGGCGTTGTGCAGCGCCGCCTCGGCCAGCGGAGAAAAGAAGGAGTGCGACGTCACCGAGGCTCCCTGGTACGCCAGCGGCAGCGGGAGCCGGCGCGCGGGAAGGGTGCGCCAGTCAAAGGTAGCGTCAGCCTCGGCGGCGCCGAGCATCTCGGTGAGCATACTCCAGAGGGCTTGGCGCGACGACATGCCATACTCCCATTGCGCGTACGCCGTTGCGTTCAGCCATCCGCCACCCACCGACGAGACGAAGCGGGAGGGGTCCAGGCTGGAGATGGGCGTGGCTGCTGCATCGTCCCACACGCGTGGAACGCGAGAAGCCTGCTCGACTGCGTAGCCCATCCGAGCAAGGCGTTTGCGGGCCGGTCCCAGCTGGCAGCCCTGCAGCCGCTCGTAGTGCTCGAACTCGAGCGAGTGGTAGAGGTTGGCGGCATTGTAGCTGTGCCCAAACCCTCCCGCCGCTTTGATCTGTCCACCCGAGTGCAAAAGCGCGCCCGAGCGTGAGAACGTGTCAGCGGCGTGCACCGAGGCGGCGTTGGCGGATGCGGCCTTGCGCCAGAAGCCGAGGCGCTGGTAGATGTGGCTTGGCATGTGGAGCGAGTGAGTCGCCGAGACGACGCGCTTTGGGTACTCGCGCGCGTAGGGGAGGCCACCGGCGACCACTGTGGCGTTTGCAAAGTCATGTGCGTGCATGCCATAGTGCAGAGTCCCGGCGAAGGACGGGTCCGACGCGTACGCCGAAGCGGCGAGGTCGCGCGCGCGCTGCTGCGCGGCGCGGCAGGGCGCGAGGGTGGGGTCGAGGGCGCAGTCGCCCACCGAGCCAGCCGCGAGGTTGCCGAGGATCATGAACGAGCGCGCAGTCTGATCCGTGGGATGCGCGGCGGCAATGGCACTGACCGCCGCGAGGAAGGCGGCGTAGCGTCGCGGCCGCGTGGCGGACGTTGCCGCGAGTGTCATAGGCGGGTTGTCACCGCCAGTGAACGCGACCGCCGCGGCAAAGTACGCCTGCTCCCGGTTGTCCATAGCGCCGGGGAAGTCGGAGTGCTGCCGCGCTGCCTTCAGGACGGCGACCGCCGCGGGGATGTCCTCCACGTTCCAGATCGGCCGAGCGTTGCACATGGCGCGGCCCCACCACGCGAGAAACAGGGTCGGCTCGGCAGCGAGGGCCGCTTCAAACTCATGCTCGCACAGGTCGTAGTCAAAGTTGTGCAGCGCCTACCGGCGCGAGAGGTGACGATGATTTCTAGCGAGTGGGCCGGCCATACGCTGTAGCGGGGGCAGGATCGCAGGCGGCCAACAGCTCCTGCGCGCCTTGAGCCCGAGGGTAAAGTGAGCGCCCGCCGTCGCGTTGGTATATGAAAAGTTGAAGGACGCGACGGAGCCCAAAGCTGAGGTCGGGCAATCGCGCAGGAGGTTGCTCTCCCACGCCTGCAGCCCTGGGGCGCCCAGGAAGATGCTCTCCACGCACGACGTGACCATTCGGCCCCTCGGCCCCTCCGGCGCGCACGACGCCGCGTTTGGATATCGCACCAGAAAAGCCCGCCGCCTTTTGATAGTGGAGCAAGGCTCGCTGCACAGCGGCGTCCCCCATGCTGCGCGGATCGCAGACCCTCGTGCGGCGCGGGCTGCAGCACTCGAGCGCCGGGCGCTGGTCGGCGCTGGTCGCCGGCGGCGCGGCGGCGCGTGTTTCCGACGCCTCTTTTGTCGAGGAGTGCCGCGCCCAATATCTCGCAAACGGCTGGTGCCACATCCCCAACTTCATTGGCAAGGAGCGCTGCGCTGAGCTGCGCAACGAGGCTGACGCGCTCCTTGAGAGCGACGCGGCGTTTGCCAGCACCGACGACCACACCGTTTACCAGCAAGAGCGGGACGAGCGGCTCCCGCTCGACCACCCGCGCAACCGGCTCATGAAGTCCACCAAGCGGATCGTCGATTACGAGCACGTCCCGCAGGAGTCGTCGCTTCGAGAGCTCTACTCGGCACCCGAACTGCGCTCGTTCGTCCAGGCGGTCGTCGGCGTGCCCGAGCTGCACCTCTCCGCCTGCCCCTACAACGCGGCCATGTACAACGGCTACTACGACTCGGACGGGCTCGACTGGCACTTCGACAGCTCCGAGTTCGGCGTCAATCTGGTGCTTCAGAACCCCACCGATGGTGGCAAGTTCGAGTACCACAGCCTCACGCGCAGCGAGGAGGACCTCTGGTCGTACGACGCTGTCACAAAGGTGCTAGCCGAGGCAGACGCCTCGGCCGAGGGCGCGGCGACGAGCGCTGAGACCGTGGAGGGACTCGCGCCGGGCTCGCTCGTCTTCTTTGCGGGCCGGCTCTCGCTCCACCGCGTATCTCCGGTGCTCAACCCCGACGTACGCTCTGCGGAGCGGTCCCTCCCGACTCACGGGGCGCTTCCCTGCGCGCAGGTGCGCGGCTCAACGCCGCGAATCAACGCTATCCTCACGTATGAGAAGTCGGAGGGGCAGCTGGCCAGCCCATACACCCTGTCCAAGTTCTTCGGCCGCTCGTCGGAGGGGCAGCAAGCCCACGCTCAGTAGGCACCCGTCACCTCAGACGAGCGCTGCGTGAGCGGCGCCGAAGTGCCAAGGCCCAGGTCGAGGCAGGGCGGTGTGCGAACGCGACTGGTGCTTGTGCCGAGCGAGAGGGTCTAGTGCGCGGTCTCGCGGTGACTATGCGTCTGAATAGGAGACGTGTGCCGCAACTCGCCGCGCGCGGGTACCAACACACCCTAGAGCGAGGGTGAGTCCACAACAGCCGCGCGGCGCACACCACGACGCCCCCACGCGGACGCGCGAGAGAGAGTGTGAGAGATATCGCATACGCGCCGCTCCCCGTCCGTCCACCGATCTAGCGGCGACTACCGGGAGGCGCGGCGAGAGGTTATATTACGACGCGCGAGGGTAAGAATGTCTCTTTCCTACAACGCTGGAACGAACACTGTGGTCTGTGCTTTGCGGCGGGGCGAGCTCGAAGCTTTATCGTGCCCCCCGGAGCGGCCGCACATTGCTCGGTACCCCCCCTGCACTTCTAAGCCCGTCCCTGCTGCTAGGGGGGGGGGGGTCTGACCCCCCCAGCAGCAGAGCGCTGCTGCTGGGGGGGGGGGGGGCCCGACCCCCCAGCAGCAGAGCGCACTGGACCCAGCTCCCGCCTCCCGCCGCCCCCCCTCCCGCCCCCTCGGCTCGTGTTTGAGCGGTACGCTCGAGGCGGTTGTGTTCACCGCGCCTTCGAGCCCAATACACCTTCGTCGTGTCGAGTGCTGGCGTTTTACTAAAGACTTGTGACCATGGTGAGTCTATCTTGTACTACCACACATAGGCGCGTATAGTGAGCCACTCACTCGGGCGTCTCGCTGACGTTGATCGATCAGCGCTGATCTCCCTAGCCTATCGCCCACCCGCTCGATCCTCGGATCGCTCGCTTGTCGCAAATCGATCGACTGAGCTGTCATCCCCGCGGCCTTTTCTTTTTTCGAAAACGCGCGCGCGGCAAAACTGTCAGGTCCGCCGCGACGCGTCGCCGCAATGGCGGGCAGAGGCGCCGCGAGGCACGAGAGGCGTAGAAGAGAGGCTGGCGTGCCCCGCACCGCCCGGTTGGCAGTAGGAGGCCCCGCCGGTGAGACCACTGATTTTGATGCCGAGACCATAAATTCTCGCAACTCGAACGCATGCTACTTACAGCTGCTGTCTGTACAGAGATGCCAGCACCCCCCACAGGCAGAGCGCTGCTGCTGGGGGGGGGGTCCCGACCCCCCCAGCAGCAGAGCGCTGCTGCTGGGGGGGGGGTCCCGACCCCCCCAGCAGCAGAACGCTGCTGCTGGGGGGGGGGTCGGCCATGGGCTTAAGTGTGCAGGGGGGGTACCGAGCAGTGTGCGGCCGCTCCCGGGCCGCCCCCCCGGGCCCCGGGCCCCGCCGGCGCCGCCCGGGCGCGCGGTGACGAACAAAAAAACTCGGTGTGCAAGAGCGATAGAGTCAACCCCCCCTTCACAAGCCTTCCCAGCCTCGCCTTCTCACCCACGCCGAATGCCGATAGGCGGCCACTGCCAAATCTACTGTCCTCGTCCTTGCAGCATCCAGAAGGTCCTTGGCCGGCCTCGGCCATACTTCGGCCTGGCTAGTTTCAGTGAGCATAGGCCCCCGGCTTGAGGAAGAGCGCGGCGCCACAGCCGACCGTCATGAAGGTGGCAGTGACTGAGAGGAGCTTGAGCGGGCTGGACATGAGTGCACCGTTGACAATCTGCGCGATCATCGAGGCGATCCGCCCCGAAGCTGCGAGGATCGAGAAGGAGAACGCGCGGACCTCGGTCGGGAACGATTCGGTTGAGAGGACCTCGAGGGCGTTCCAGCCTCCGTTGCTGGCTCCAGAGAACGTGCAAGCGGCGAGGATGACCATGCTCTTGTTGCTGGAGTCGACCATACCGAGCGCAATGGCCGAAAGAGCGGAGAGGCCCATGGTCAGCATAAGCAGCAGCTTGCGACCGATGATGTCGATGCCAAAGATGGAGATAAGGTTTCCGGGAAGCATGGCAAAGGCGTAGAGTAGCGAGACAAAGTATGCGTCGTCGACTCCCTACGCGGGTCCACAACTCGGAGTTAGGGTGAAGGTTAGGGTTCGGGTTGCTAGGATGCTAAGCTACTCCGAGTTGTGTCGCGCGCCACTGCATTCAGCAGCACGGTAATCCATGATGACAACCCATACGAGCCAAAGTTGAGCCCAAACCAGACAACGCAGAGCAGGAATAGCGAGCTGCCGTGGTTCTTCATCAGGTCGGAGCACAGCCCTCCAAAGCTTTGCGGCGGTTCGGCGTCCTCAGCATCGACGCCGGTGCCGTCAGGAGGCAAGGCACAGATCACGAGGACGGTGGCGAAGATGGGAACGGACGCGCACGCCAGGGCGTACTTCCGCCAGGGAGCATCCCACTCAGGATCTGGAACCCAGTCCGCGGGAAGGGTGTAACTCGCCGCAGCAGCTGCTCCGCCACCACCGCCCGAGAGTCGGCGCGCGCCCTCGAGGCCGCTGAGGTCGGAAGGCCTGAGGCACATGCGTCGAAACTCGGGATGAGAGGCAGACCAGGGCGTGTCCGCCAGTGCACGGGGTGCTCACCAAGTTGGCCAGTCGTGCTCTGGCTCCCCGATCATGATGAGAGCAACCCAAGCCGCAAAGATCGAGCCGACCATCCAGAAAGACGCAACCAGAGATATGGCCGGACCGGACTTGCCGGGAGGGGCGTACTCTGTCGCAAGGGCAAAGAGAGGAGGCGTCGCCGCGCCCACACCAGTGCCAGAGAGGACGCGACAGACCACGAGCGCCATAATGTTCGGCGCCGCTGTGGCAAGCGTGGTAGGGGGGGAGTCAAGGCGAGCGAACCGAACTGAAGGGGTGAAGGGCGGGCAGAACTTAGCAGGACCTGCTTGCCCCAAACCGGCGAGGCACGCGAGAATGAGAGCCCACTTCATCGCAAACACCCGGCCGAGCGTATCCGCAACGGCACCACTGATGAAGCCGCCGATAAACATACCGACGAAAATGCCGGTCGAGATCATCGTCATGCCCGCTGCGTCATCCGTCGCTCGCTACGCATGCACGGGAGATACAGTTAGTTGGTTCTTGAGCCACGCGCGCGCCGTCAGTGTGCGCGGATGTGCGCGGCGTACCGGAAGCATAAATCCTCCCTTCATCACCTCGACTGACTCTCCAGCATTGCCGAGGCAGAGGGTCAGGAGCAGCAGCCAGACGGGCCTGCCGCCGGTGGCGTCGACAGTCTCGTTGGTGACCGTGTCGGACTCGACATCGTACCCAACACCAGGCTTCTTCACGCCACCACGCGCGACCGAGCTTCTGCGCGAAAAACGCCCACTCGCCGCCGACAGCTTGCCCGTCTGCATCGCGGGAGGCGTCGGCCTATCGTTCGGGGGGGGGGACTGTCGAATCCAATGCTGAGAACTTGGATGAAAGCGGCGACACCGAATCGGCCATAAACGGCAGCGGCGGCCATGGAGACAGCAGCAGTGTGGCTGGCATTCGTTTTGGGCAGCGCCTGCGGTCTTCTCTACATCGGGGCGATTTGCGGCTGGGGTGCGATCTCGGTCATCCTTGAAGCTGATGGGGTCTGCGGCGACGCATGTGCCCCCGGCGAGGAGCTTCCCTGCCCGGCACAGAACAACAACCTACTTCTGATTTACACCATTGCGATGAGCGCAATGAACCTCAGTGGGACGCCCGGGGGGATCCTGTGCGACAAATGTGGGGTCATAGGAGGAGCTGCTGCGGCTGGAGTGGCGGTTATCCTCGGGGCAGCGGCCGTCGGCGTGCTAGACTCCTCAGACTCTACCATGTTTCAAGCAGCGTTCGTGCTCATGGCGTGTGGAGGTAATACGACCTTCTTTGCTGCCTTGAAGATGGTGTTCATGTTTCCGCAGGAGAAGCACGCCACAATCCTCAGTACGATCTGCGCGCTTTATGACGCCTCCTCTGCCGTGCCGCTGCTCTTTTTCCTCGCCTTCTCTGCAGGGGCCTCGCGCGAGGCGATCTTCCTCAGCTACGCTGCGTCTGCCGCTGTGCTGTTCGCCGCTTGGATCGGTGCGCTGCTGTACGTGAGGAGCGCCGGCGCGGCCCCGGATCCAAAGACATCGCGGGCAGCGGGCCTCAGCAAGGACAGCTTTGTCGCCGCACGCCTCAGTGCAATGCAGGGCAGGGGGAGCGTGATGGCATCCGAACGCTTCACAAGCACGGTGTACCAGGAGATGCCATCGGCGCCCTCCGAGCACGAAGTGCCCACGCTGCACACGTCCACGCTGACGGGGATGCTCACCTCGTCGCAGTTTTTCCTCGGGCTGCTATGGTTTGTGTTGAGCGCACAGCGGTGCAATCTGTACCTCGGCACCGTCAAGTACGTTCTGGAGGAGCAAGGGGACGACGACAACAAGTACATGGCGATTTTGACCGCGATGCTCCCGCTCGGACTTGCGTGCGTCCCGGTCATCGCTTTTGTGCACGACAAGCTCAAGCTGCTCGGCTCGATGCAAGCAGTCACGGCTCTGGGCATGGTTTATGGGCTCTGTGCCATCTTCCTGCCGTTGCACTTGCAGCCGATCACCTTTGTTCTCTTCGCCGGATACCGGGCAGCCGTCTTCTCGGTCTTCTGCATCTATGCGACGCACGTCTTTGGGCCGCTCGCGTCCGGGACAGTCAACGGCGTCATCTTCTTCATCGGAGGCATTGCGAGCATGTCCCTCGCACCCATCAGCTCGTTTGTGAACGGATCACTAGATGGGGACTGGAGCCCAGTCTACCACACGTACAGTGCACTGTGTCTCGTGCAGCTCGTCGCCGTTAGCCTTGCGGCGAGGTGGTGGCGACGCGCAAGGTGAGGTCGCCTCTCTCGGCCCTCGACGCTCGAGCCCTCCCGTGGTCGTGCTCGAGAGGTGGCGTCCGCTCGATACTACGATACTGTCCGATCGCTCGAGTCTCGGCTGAGCCAAAAGCCGCGTCTCAAGCGTCGATTGGACCGACGCCAAAATCCTTAAAAGGCCTGTGAGGCGGGTCATGTGGGGGCGCCTGTGTTCGGCTTCTTTTCGCGTATATCGGTCCATATCGTACAGACGGAGGGTCGGACTCGGAGCGCGCGCGCTGGTGGAGCGGGTCATTTCCGTCTCTACGATCGATATCGCGAGCGCCTCGTGTACATGTACACGCTTGCGGAGAGTTGCACGGAGATCTCGCGGTCCGGCGCGCGGTGTGGTCTCCGCGGTCACACGGAGACTCTCCTACCCAACCTCACAGGGCCCGTCGTAGACACTGACACATTCTGACGGAGGGATCAGAGCTACGCGCTCCGACCGCTTGGCTAGCACCACGCTGCGCTCCCGCACAGCGCGCGAGAGCCGCCCAAGTTCCTCACCGTCACCCGTTGCCTGTCGAGCGACGAGGGCGAGCGCCTCGCCCATCTCGCGCTGGTAGTCTAGGTCGGCCGTCACTCGGAAGACGGTCGAGCCGTACGGCGACCAAGAGACGAGGTGCAACGTGGCAGCGCCGGTGGCGAGCAGCTGCCCCTGCAGCTGCGGCATCATGCGAGGGAGTACCTTGACGTGCGGGGCGGGTTGGCCTCCGCGGAACGGGCACTTGACCTCGACGACTAGGCCGCCAGGCCAGACCTGCTCGGCCCCGCGGACGATCGCGTCGGGCGTCGCGCCAACAGAGGCGCGCGCGCCGGAGGGATGCGAGACCTCGAACGGCCAGAAGCCAGTCTCGTGTGCTTCAGCCGAGGGGCATGCCGCCGAGAGGTACGACGAGAGGTAGGTGGCCAGCCCGCTCGCTTCGTGGCGCTGTCCCCAGTCCACGCCAGGGTCGCTCTGCTGCACATCGGCTGACGCGCCCGCGCCCAGCTTTCGCGTCAGCCGGTGCGCAGACGCCTTGCCGTGGAACCCGAGGGCCGCGGCAAAGTGGGAGGCGGTCAGGCGGCCCCGACGCCGTTCGAGCCACCGCGCGTTGACGCCGCCGCAAACTCTCTGCGGTACCTCAGGTCGACGCGTCGATTGCAGCGGCGCCACGTCCCAAGCCCTCCGCAGGCGCGGAACATCCTCTAAGCGGAGCCTCGCGCACCTCGCCAGCTGCTCCTGCAAAGGCACGGTCCGGCGGCTGCGCTCGCACCAGAGCGGACGTGACGAGGAGCCTCTCATGGCTGTCGCCTGCGCCCCCGTCGAGTTTCTCGAGGTTATCAATGTGGATTCCCGCCGTTGGTAGGTAGGTAGGTGTGCGACTCTCTAGGCAGAGACAAGGAGGGCCCCCGCACACACGTACCCACACATAGAGAGAGAGAGAGCTTCGGTGAAGGGGGTGAACCGCGCCATCCTCGATCGCCGTGCAAAGCTCGCTTCCGAGCTCTCACGCCGCGCGCCGCGCGTATCTCGCGAATACTTGATTTTGCAGGGCTGTAAGGTGCCTATATGGGCTTCCAGTATCGGACCTTCAAGACATGCGCTTTTGGCCGGTGGCCTCCTCGGACATGGTACCTCCGGTGAGATAGAAGATAGGCTGCCAGTTCGAGAGAGCAGGCGCACATCGCTTCCAGGGAGGGGGGCGCGCTTCTACTCACGCCCCACCCCCCCCCTAGCATGTGGTGAAGCCTCTGGGGGGGTCGGGAACCCCCCCCTAGCATGTGGTGAAGCCTCTGGGGGGGGTCGGACCCCCCCCCTAGCATGTGGTTGGCACCCCCCAGCATTTTGTGGGCTAGGAATAGAGCCGTAGCCGCCAGAGAGCCGATTTTGCCCCCAAAGTTGTGAAATCGTGGCTGAAACTCCAATATCTTGGATAATCTGACCAGTCTCAAGGCTCATGTAGCTCCAAAGGATGATTTTCCTCTCGAAAATACTGCGAAATGAGGCGTAAAATCAAGGGCCCGGAGGGTCTGACCACGAGTCTCGGGGGGGGGTCTCGGGGGGGGGTCCTCGGCCACGACCACCCCCCAGCATGTGGTGAAGGTGCTGGGGGGGGCGGGACCCCCCCCCTAGCATGTGGTGAAGCCTCTGGGGGGGGTCGGACCCCCCCCCTAGCATGTGGTGTTAGTAGAAGCGCGCCCCCCTCCCTGGAAGCGATGTGCGCCTGCTCAGACTGGGGCCGATCGAACTTGAGTTGTTCGGAGGAGGAATCCGGCCAGCACGGGTACAAAGAGGGGTACCCGGAGAATCCCCAGCTGCGGAAACGTAGGGTCGCTCAAGAGGTGCGAACGTGCGATACTGCGGGGGAGTGTAAGGTATCCCTGGTGTGGACGATTTTCTTCGCGGTATCCGCGGCGGGATATGGCGGGATATGGCGGGATACCGGGAGATACCGGGAGATACCAGGAGATACACGTGGATATGATGAGATACGGAGCCCCCACGATGTGTTCACGACAACGTCAGTGAAGCGTGAAACCGCAAATCGGACGCGAGAGCGCACTTCCGCGCTTCGACCGGCCGTGATCTGCCGTGATCTGCTGAGCGCTCGATTCCCATGACTGGCGAGAGCTCGTCGATGGAGCATCGCAAGGACAAGAAGGAGAAGAGCGCCGAACGCAAGCGCGACCGCAAGAAGCACAAGAAGCGGCATCACGACAGCGACGGCAGCAGCTCGGTCGGCGGGATATGGCGGGATATGGCGGGATATGGCGGGATATGGTCAGATATGGTCAGATATGGAGAGATACTGTTCCCGGGCATTCACACTATATTCCTCTGAGATAATATTATATTTCGCCGCCACCGCGGCGCGCGCGCTTTATCCGTACCGGCAGGCCATGTCTAGCCCTCAAGTCGAGCAATGGCGCGAAGCTATTAACAAGGAACTTTCTGGTCTCATTGCCCTCAACACCTGGGACCTTGTACCGATTGCTTCGATTCCTGCCGCCGCCAATATTATGCACTGCCACTTTGTATTTGCAATCAAGCGCAAGGCTGACGGTTCAATCGACAAGTTCAAGGCGCGCCTTGTCGCCGACGGCAACACTCAGAAGCATGGTGTCGACTTCAATCGCGTCTTCGCTACCGTCGTCAAGGCCCTTACTATCCGCCTCGTACTCGCCATCGCCGCCGCCCGTGATTACAATTTGACTTCTCTCGATATTCGGCAGGCTTATTTACAGGCGACCATTGACGAGGATCTGTACATGCGCGTTCCTCCAGGAGTCAACAGTGGCAACAACTCCCTCGTTTGCAAACTGCGGCGCAGCCTTTATGGACTCAAACAGGCAGGGCGAGAGTGGGGACTACTCCTCACCTCCTTCCTCGTTTCCTGGGGATTCGTTCGCTCGACCATCGACGTGTGCCTGTATATCTACCGATCTGGCAATCTTGTCTTATGGGTGCTAGTTTACGTCGACGACATACTCATCGCCGACAACTGCCCCACGCTGCGCGCCCGTTTTGTTGCCGACATCTCCAAGCGTTTTCCTACCGAGGACAAGGGCGAGCTCGAATGGATACTGAACACCGCCATCACGCGTGACCGCGGCGCACGGACCCTGAACTTGTCCCAGGGCCTCTACGCCGCCGACCTCGTTACCAAGTTCAGCGCCTATTTCGATCGGTCCCGCTCACGCCGCTTCGACTCGCCTATGGAAGAGGGGCTCGAACTGTCCGCCGATGATCAGCCCGCCGTTGGATCTGTTGAACACGACGAGATGTCCGAATTCCGCACCGCCTACATGGCCATCGTCGGCGGACTACTGTGGCTTGCCAATATGACGCGCGTCGACATTGCTTATTCCGCGTCTCAGCTCGCTCGGTTTATGACGAACCCTGGCCCGTCGCATTTTAAAGCCGCCATCCGGGTGCTTATCTACGTGCGCGACACAGCTGACCGCGCCCTCGTCATGCAGCCGAATTCCAACCGCAACCTTGAGAGCTACGTCGATTCAAACTGGGCCACGAAGTTCTCTTGCTCCGGTGGCATGTTCTTCTTCTACGGATGTCTCTTCCACTGGTTCTCCAAAATGCAGCGATCCGTCACGCTGTCTAGTGCCGAGGCAGAGTTCTTCGGCGCCATGCTAGCCGCCAAGGAGGTGATTTTCATCCGTGAGCTACTGATCGACCTTGGATTTTCCATCGACGGCGCCAGCGTCATCAACTGCGACAGCAAGTCCGCCGTCGGCATGGCCTTCGATCCCGTTGCCTTCAAGAAGACCAAGCACATCTTGCGCGCCGCCGAGTTTCTTCGCGATCTCGTCAGCCGTGGCGTTATCTCTGTCGAACACCTCCCCGGCGTCGTGATGCTCGCTGACCTACTCACGAAGGCTGCCTCGCGGGCCGTCTTTACTGGCCTGATCAAGCAGCTCGACGACTTTCATGCCCTTTGAATTTATTTGTCCCTCGCGCCCCGCACTCGGGCCAGGAGGGGCTGTTCCCGGGCATTCACACTATATTCCTCTGAGATAATATTATATTTCGCCGCCACCGCGGCGCGCGCGCTTTATCCGCGCGCTATATTAGTAGAGCCAAACTTGTGTTCTTGTTTTGGATCAAACTTGTTACAGCTCAGCGAACGCGATGCGGCCTCTGCCTAGCCTCCTGCTCCTATGCGCGAGCTATGGCGTGACCGCTATCGCGTAGATACGTCAAGATACCGCAAGAAAATCGTCCGCACTAGGGCTTAAGGTGCCTATAATGGGCTGTCGGATTTTTCCGCGCCTCGAAATTCGTAACAATCGCCTCGCCGCTCCACGATGCCTTTCTCCGTTGCCTCCAGCCGCCATTGTCCTCCACGATGCCATTGTCCTCGATCCAGTGCCGGCCTGTGACAAGCTTGGCAGCTCGCGGATCGACGATCGCCACGAGCTGCTGCCCGGCGACCGCCGCTCGCCTTCGACAAGGCGAAGGAGGCGAGCGAGGGAGGTGGCGATGGAGGAGGCGGCGGCAAGGGAGGCTGTAAGGGAGGCGGCGGCGGCGGAACGGGTGAGAGTGGAGGGGGAGGAGGAGCTGTCGAGGGAGGTGGTGAAGGAGGAGGCAAAGATGGAGGAGAGAGGGGCGAGGGAGGAGGAGGCGGCTAGGTAGGAGGAGGCGGCGAGGGCGGAGGTGGCGGCGAGGGGGGAGGAGGCGGCAAGAGAGGAGGCGGCGAGGAAGGGGCGGGCGGTGGAGGCGGCGGTGGCGGCGGAGGAGGTGGCGAGGGGGGGGGAGGTGGCAAGGGAGGGGTCGGCGGTGGAGGCGGCGGTGGCGGCGGGGGTTTGGATTGTGGACTCCTGGGTGAACACAACGAGCGGGCAGCGCTGCACCAGGCGGACCCACGGACGGCGTGCTCAGCGAGCCGCGAGGCGGAGGCAGGCCGAGTGAGCGCGAGCCGCATCGGCGCCCATGTCCCGCGCAGCGGCGAGCATCAAGTCAATGGGCGTCGATCGGCTGGTGGCGACGCTAGCAGAGTTTGGCACGGAGGACGAGCGCCTCGCCCGAGCGTGCTTCACCAGCCTTCTCTGTCGCGTGATGGACGAGGTTGCGCGGCAGGGGGAAGCGTATGCAGAGCTGCCTTTCGTCTGCGCCGTCACGGGCGCGATGCTCGCGCACAAGGCCACGCCCGAGTTCCTACAGACGGGTGGGATGCTACTCGCCCCCGTGCTCACCGGCTTGGCTCCGAGCCGTGAGGCCCTATCGATGGGCGCCGAGGCGTTGGTCGCGATGATGCTGCCGATGCTGCCGCTCTCAGGCAGTGCCGCTCTGAGCCAGATTGCGCCGAATGTGCTGCTTCTGCTCGCTCTGGTGGCTCGAAACTCGGACGTCCTGTTGGATGCGGGGGCCGTGGGGCTCTTCGAGGCGGTGCAGCGCTCCCACCACGTGCCCGAGGACCTGAAGGTCAAATGCGGCGTTGCCGTCGAGATCGTCCGGGATGGAGATATCACGCTGACTCCCGAGCCGTCCTTTGAGGAGTGGCAGGCAAACGAGGCGAGAAAGGCGAGCGTGCTGGCGGCGAAGGCGCGCGGCACCGCGGCGTTCCGCCGTGGTGAGTGGGAGCTGGCGGCCCGCGAGTATGGCGCTGCGCTCGAGGTGTACGCTGGCGCTGGCGCTGGCACGCCGCCGCCGCCGAGGGCGCGCCGTACGGCTCCGGTCTACTCCGGGCCCGCCCTCACCAGCGAGGAGCGTGAGGAGCAGCGCGCGGAGCAGGTGGTCCTCCACTCCAACTGCGCCGAGGCCTTTCTGCGGCTCGACGAGTACCAGGCGGCCAGGGAGTGCGCGACGGCCGCGCTTGAGCTCGATCCTGCGCACGGCAAGAGCCTGCACCGGCGCGCGCGGGCTCTGCGGCAGCTCGGCCCGTGGATCGGAGGCGACGCCGCGCTGGTCGGCGCCGAAGCGGACCTTTTGGAGCTGACGCGCCTCGGCGGCGGCGCGGCCGTGGCCGAGCTGCTGGCGGAGGTGCGCGAGGTGCAGGCGAGGATGCGAGCCGCGCGAGGCGAGGCGCATCACAGCCACGTCTCGCAGTTTCTCGAGCGGGAACGCGAGGCTCGCCTCGCCGGGCCGACGCCGTACCAAGGCTTGCAGCGCAGTGGGACGGAGGCTCTATATCGATCAATTCAATTCGCGCTGCGTTCCCTCTGCACTGCGGCGAACTGAATAGGTGGTAGAGGGCGGGGTTTGACATGCCAGAGACCTCCACCAGTCCACTCACCAGCCACTGGAGCCAGAGTTCTCCACACTCACTCAGTGCGCGCGTCATCCGTGTCGCGTGTGTTTGAGCTGTGGTAAATAAATAAACAAAGTGCAGTAGAAAATCCAAAATCCAAATCGCAAACATAGAAACCCAAACACACACAGCCACGTGGCATAGGAGAGCAGGAGGTGAAAGGAGGCCAGCACAAGTTGCAAGGACGCACGAGCGAGAAGCACAGCAGTGCAGACAGATGGCAGCTTCGCGAGCTACGGGGGCGGCCACGGCACGGCCCGGTGGCCGCCCCCGCAATGAGGCCAAGCGGTGGGCATCCGGCAAAAGCCGCAAGACGGGATTCGCGAAGGCGCGGGCCACCTTCCGCGGCGGAGGCCGCGGAAGCGCGGCGGCTGCGGAGAGGCACGACAGCATGATGACAAAAGCACGCTGGCGGGGCACCGAGGCCATCGCAAGGGAGACCCCAGAATAAAATAAATAAAAAATATCAAATAAATAAAGAAGAAGAAGGTCCCGTAACCCGATACCGATCATCCGGCCCGCTGAGTGCGCTTCTCAGCTCCCCGGCCCTGGATGTGAGGTTAATGACTGCGCTCCAAGTGCTCCAAGTCCCCCAAATAAGAAAGAAAGAAAGAAAACAGACACACGGGGGGAAGGGTGGATGGCACTTAGCGGACACCTCTCTACTGTGAGATGGGTAAAAAGGAACAGGTCCCCGCCCGTGCGATCTTTGTGCAGGCGTTGAGCAAAAATGTGTAAAAAATACCGGAAAATCAATAAAACGGTAATAAATAGAGCAGTCAAGACTCCAGGAGAGATGGGCGACGCACGAACACAGAGCTCAGAGGCACAGTGCGCACCCCGCCCCGCTCACAGGGCGTGCATCACACAGGCGTGGACTGTGTGACTCCTCGGGTTTCTGGGACTCGACAGAGGTGTGCTAGTCGCTACAGTCGGACGGCTCCGGCACGTCTAAAAGAGAGAAAGAAAACAGACAACCCAAACGAGGGATGGGGGAGGAGGACAGGGTCCACAAATAAATAAATAATAAGAAGTGGCCCCGCGAGCTGGGAAGAGGACCGCCGCAAGCGGCGTGGCGTGGGGCGGTTGAGCATCCCTCCGGGGGCCCCTCTGCGCCGGGGAGGCGTTGTTGGAGGCTAGGACGCAAAGCGTCCGTCGCCTTTTTCAAACTCGGGGCCGTCGGGGCCCACTCCGCTGCGCTCCGACCCAAATTTGGAGGGCCATGAAATTTAAGGTGTTGCTGCGCAAAAGGGGCGGGGCGCGGGCGCGCGCAGCCCGCCGAGAGCTCTTTGGAGACCAGACCTTTCGGTGGTTCATGCTTTCTATGTCTATCTATCATGCTTCATGACACGCGGACACGCGGTGGTGGGAGCTGGTGGAGCTGTCAGCTGATCGATCCAAGCGGGTGGGGAGTGGGGGGCATGGCTGGGCATGCAGGTCCGCCAGTCGGCCCGGCCTCTGACGTGGTGCTGCCGCTGCATTCGCTGAAGAAGAGAGCAGTGAAGAGAGGTGCGACTTGATTGGAGGCACTGGAGGCGAGGGTAGGGGGAAGGGAAGGTTGGGCCGGGCCGTGAGGGGCTGATGGCGCTGGCCAGCGCGGGGTGTGAGATGTCGTCGTCGTCGTATACTGCTGGCCCTCGCCCTCAGTTGCCAGGGCTGTGGGCTGCAGAATTGGCGTCTGTGGCGTCTACGCAGGCTCTGCAGCGTGATGGCTGGCGGGACTGCGAGGCCGGCGGCAGCGGAAGGAGAGGCTGGGCACGAGCCAGGAACAGGCTGGCCAGGTCCGCAGGTGGCTGCGCTCGGGCGAGGCGCGCGCGCGCATGGCAGGCCGAGCAGGCTCAGCATGTATGGTGAACCCCCGATGTCGCGATGCGGTCCCGCTTTTCCGCGATCATTTCGTCCGCGTCCAATCGAAGGAAGCGCCGGATCGCCCATGTTATGGAGTTAGCCAAACTTGCCCCGCCCGTTCTTCGTCGCATTTTCCGTGGTGTTCGCACGGTATTCGGATTTTCGCTATTTGGTCGTGTGGGTGTGATTCCGGGATTAGTCAATGGTACCGCGTCGGCGACGCGGGCCCGGGCGCCTTGCGGGCAGAGCCCTTAGCCACCCCTTTTATCTTGCGCGGTCAAAACGGACACCTCTACTGTGAGATGGGTAAAAAGGAACAGGTCCCCGCAGAGGCTTTTTTTTCTTTTTGGTTTTCGCGCGGCGAACACACGTGGCTCTGTGGCGACTGTGGACGACTGACTGGCGCACGGGCTGGGGGGGAGAGAGAGATTCAGATTTGTTGTCCGACAGCTCTCACATGCATGGCGGGTTGGCGTGCACAAAAAAGGAATCCGGGCGTGCCAGCAGTGTGGAGCAGAGCGTGCCCGGGAAAACTACGCTGCGGCTACGGGCCCCACTGGCAATGCGAACGACACACATGGACATTCATGGCTCTGTATTCTGTCCGTATTCGGCGCTCGCCCTCACAGGAGCATGCGGAGCGCGGAGACGTAGAAGAAGGCTGGCGCCGCGACGAGCAGGTACGAGTCCAGCCGGTCGAGGAGCCCCCCGTGGCCGGGCATGATGCTGCCCGTGTCTTTGACGCGCGCGGAGCGCTTGAGCAGCGAGACGGTCAGGTCGCCGGCCAATCCCATCAGCGCGCAGCCGATGCCGTACAGGCCGCCGGTCGCGAGCGGGTAGGGCCAGCCCAAAAGGACGGCCGCCGCCGCCATGGTCGCCGTCGCCGCGACGACGCCGCCCCACAGCCCCTCCCACGTCTTCCCCGGCGAGACGGAGATGAGCGGCGTGCGCCCGAACCGCTTGCCGACAAAATAGGCCGCGACGTCGGCGAAGACGATGGCGAGCATCGTCCACCACTGCACGAGCGCCCCTGCCGTCAAGAGGTCGCTGCGGGACCGCTCCAGCGCGACGAGCGGCGCGCAACCCCGCAGGCGTGGAGGCACAATCGCGGGGAGCAGCGCCGCGGGCGCCATCGGCCCGATGCCTCTCAGCCGCACCCAGAAGGAGGGCATGTAGCCAAACAAGAAGACGCCCATGAAGGTGGTGCCGACGTCGTCGTACGTCGTTGGCGGCGTGTCGCGCGGCGTGTACCTCCAGGGAGACATCACGGAAGGCTCAGGGAAGGTGCGGCGGAGCCGTGGCGGCTCCCCGGCGTGCCGCGGCGTGTACCAGGGGAAGAGGCGGCCGTAGCAGCGCTCGAAGCCGGGCCGGAGCAGCAAGTAGATGATCGTCGCGCACCCCGTGAGCGGAAACGCAGCCTCCCGCATCGCCACCGACGGGCAGGCGGCGGCGACGTACCTGCCGGGCAGAGGTGCGGCGGTCGGAGCCGAGCGCTGCACTGTCGCGCGGGCGATCGGGCGGCGGGCGCACATGGCGCACGAGCCGAGGAGGCCGAGCTTCCAGGTTGGGTTGATCCCTACGGCAAGGCGTGCTCTCTCGCGTGCAGGCCCTGGGAGGCGGGTCCGAGGCTTGCGCGTGGTCGTGTGAGCACCGTTGCGGCGGACCATGTCGTAGTACTCGTTCTGTGCGACGACCGCGAACATCATGAAGACGGACAGGAAGCCGACGGTCCCGGAGAAGATCCAGCTCGAGACAAAGACGGCGAACGAGAAGCCGGTGAAGCCGCGCCGCCACAGACCTCGCCGCCGGACCTCGCCCGGCGCGAAGGCGCCCACGGTACATGGGACCAGGGCCGCAAGGCAGAGGGAGATTGTGCCGACGATCGGGCGAACCGATCGTGCCAGCACCTCGGCGGCCAGCATCCGCGGCGCACCCGCTCGCCGCGCCTGAAGCCGCGCCTGAGCCGAGCTGCGAGGACGAAGTGGCGCTGCCGACACAGCCGCTCCCAGCAAAGGGCGGCGCACGAGAGGCGATGGCCTCGCTGCTGCGTGAGCCGCGTGCGGCTGGAGCGCGGGCAGGAGCGCGACTGTCAAGGCGGCGGCGAGGCTGAACATGTATATGTCCAGCCGAGCTCAGGCGCGACCCTCGCGCGAGAGCAAGACAGAGAGAAGTGACCACTCACGGACAGCCCGGTCTTGTGCGGCTGCCACAGCTGCCACAGCGATGGGCTCGCCCTCAGTGTCCTTCAATCCCTTGTGTTCCTTCTGTCAGTGAGCGACAAACTGCCGGCGACTGCCGGCACACTGATCACTGTAAGACCGCATGTGCATGGCGCATGGGTGTGAGGTCAGGTGTATGTGTTAACGTATAACGAACCAAGTTGCAAGTAACGATCCGCGCGCGACCGCGCAATGCGGCTTGAGCGAGGGCTTGAGCGCCACAACACCCGGTCGGCATCGCGCCATCTCGGCCGCCGCTGACTGAGCCTGAGGTCAGATCCTTCTCCTCTGTTGATGGTAACACTTGTCTACTCGCTGGAGCCGAGCAGGAGGGCCCGGCGCACAAGCCACCTGTGCATAGTGCAACTCAGGGTCCACACCCCGTACCGCAAGTGTGTGAGCACACTAGCACGACAAGGGCGTGGATTGGCGCACACTATAGCACACAGGACGCGCCGCCGCCGCGCAAACGGAGACGCGGAGCGATAGCAGCATCTCGGCGCCGCGATCACTTGCTCGCCATCCGCGACTTGGTCTTGTCTGCGAGGACCGACTTGAACCCGCTGCCCATGTTTGACGAGATGGAGACGGCCTGCCGCAGGAACTGAAAGTCGGGCTCGACGACCGCGTCGAGGCAGAAGGCCGCCACGTCGGCGCGCGTGATGGCGCCCGCGTCCTGGTCCTTCCCCGCGGTGACGACCCCGGTGGGCGGGTCCGACTTGAGGCCGCCCGGGCGCACGATGCAGTACTCGAGGTCGGCGCCCGCCGACGTGATGACCGCCTCCTGCGCGTTCTTGTCGCTCATGATGGACGACATCACAGTCATCATCAGCAGCCGGAAGGCCCACGGCGCCTGGTCCATTGAGTCGCCCGCGCCGATCGTCGTGACGACCGAGATGCGCTTCACGCCATTGGCCTTGCAGGCGGCCACTATGTTGGCGGTGCCGTCCTGCAGCATCGTGGGGCCGACGTCGCTCGTCTTGCCGCCGAGCGCCACGACCACGCCCGTCACACCTGTACGGGGTGTGCGCATGTGTGGAACCCTGCTGCTCACGCGTGGACGGCCGAGGAGAGCACTCGCCTCCGCTGGCAAAGACCGCGTCGACGTCCGCCTTGTTGGTGACGCTGCCGGTGGTGACCGAGAGCTTGTCGCTGGCAAACGGCGAGCCCTCCGAGAAGCCCGCCGCCGTGCGCGGCGCCTTGAGCTTGGAGGCGTCGCGTACGAGGCAGCTCACGTCCTCGCCCCGCTCGAGCGCCTGCAAAACCGCCTCGCTTCCAGTGCCGCCGCTCGCGCCGAAGACCGCGATGCTCAGGGTCGGAGCGCGCGCACGCGGCGCCACCGCCGCCGGCGAGCGCGCCGGCGAGAGGAGGAGGCCCGACGACAGCAGCGCGGCCGTGGAGAACAACATGCACATGCGATGGGAGTTCGCTGTCGTCTGAAATAAAGAATTTTCCCATGCAACAAATGAACTCTACAAACGCCGTCGAAGAGACCGGCCCACATGGCCGGCCGCTCTTCCCCCCTCCCCTCGAAACCGCGCTCAATCGCTCGCTCGTCGCACTCCACCCCCCGAGCCCGGCCATCGCGGGACCGCCGCCCGCCGCCACCCCCCGTCGTCTGAAAGAAATCAGGTTACTTTGGTTTTCATTCCGCATTCGACCTGCCATCTGACGTTCGCCAACGCCATGGTGGCCCAAGAAAGGAAGAAAGTAAGAATTTCTAACTCTCTCACTGGACACTGCATCGCTGCAGAGTGTCCCTTCTAAACAAAGAAAGAAACAAGCCATCAACACAGACAATATGCTTCGAGGATGTTAGTTGTTTTCATCGTGCGCTGCTCACACTCACTATACACTGAGTGGAGAGAGAGTACACCACACACACAAACACTACTCCCCAACACGCGGCTAGCCAGGCCTGCCTGCAACACGATGGCGACGTTCTCAGGGTTCTGTCTGCGTGCTTTTGCTGCCTCCCGCTTGGAGTCGGCAGTAAAGCAAGTGGGTGGAAGCGGGGGCGACAGGGACGGCGGCGGCGGCGGCAGGGGGCTGGGGGGTCGGCGATGCCGAGATGTGTGCCCATGTTTGTGCGTGGGGGGCGTTGCACGCCGCGGATCAGGCCGGGCGGCGGGGAGGAATCGGACGGCGACGGCGGCGGCAGGGACAGGGGCAGTGGCAGTGGCCCAGGGATGGTGGCGACCGCCGCGAGCGGGATGCAGCCGGCGAGGCGAGGTGACAGGTGGGCGCGACCGTTGCGCGCTGCTCGAGTGCGCACGACAAAGCAGCTCTGATGCAGCCTGGTGACCTGCGTGCGCGGGGCTGAGGGAGGGTGTAGAGGATGTAGAGTGTAGAGCGCTGTAGAGCTGTAGAGATGTAGAGCGCTCTGGAGCGCTGTAGAGCAATGTAGAGCTGTAGAGCTCTACATCCACCGCGTGACGAACTGCCTCCGTTGTAGAGCGATGTAGAGGCGCTCTACAACGTGAAATCTCTACAACAAACTCTACAAGGTCCGACCTGTGGGCTCTGCCTGCGCTCGGCACCGGGCACCGCCTCGGTATACAAAATGCGCCTGCGGGCGAACCCTCACAGATCACAGATCACAACAAACTTTACATCATAAGCGGCGAACGAGGCACGGTCGCTCTCCGACATGAGGCGCGTTGCACTTGCCAGTGCTGCCCTGGCCTTCTGTCTGCCCGCCCAATGGGTGGCAGGTGCCTCTGCTGCTGTGGCATGCCTCGCGGCTGCGACTGGCCGGCGCCTCGGCGCGTCAGCTCGGCTCGGCGTAGCGATCGTGGCCAGCGCAACTCGCTTGGACTCAACGCTCAGCCAGGAGCTCCCGCACGCGCTGGCGCGAGTCATGGCGCATGCAACGCGTCTAAATGCTCGCCTCGCCTCGCGCAAATGCGACCGTCCTCGCAGCCGACAGTCCACCGCCTGCTAAAGAAGCACAGCGACGAATGCGGCACTGGCGACGCATGGCAGGCTGGTCATGACGCAGTTATAGGGTGTTGTGTGCCGTCAGAGTGACTCTCTGTGTGTCAGGGATAGTCAGGGCCGTCCATCAGAGCTCCAGTAAGCTCGGAGACACCCCATTAGTGCGACTCGACCTCTTTGAGTCACTGCCTTCCCGGCGGTTTGGCTGTAGAGCCTCTACAACAAACTCTACAACAAAATCGCGCTCTACATCGCTCTACAACGGAGGCAGTTCGTCACGCAGCCGATGTAGAGCTCTACAGCTCTACAGCGCTCCAGAGCGCTCTACATCTCTACAGCTCTACAGCGCTCTACACTCTACATCCTCTACACCCTCCCTCAGGCGCGGGGACGGCAAGGGTCGCGCCGCAGCCCGTGCTCACCGGGGGCTCAGTCTCGATGGGGAGTGGGGGGGGGAGAGAGAGCAGCCAGGCCCGCGTACCGGCAATGCGAGACGACATTGACAGTTGGAGCCGCCCGCGGCTTGCAGAGCGTTTGAAAGTTGTCGGGCTATGTGTGCATGTTGTGGGCGACGCCCGTCCGCAGCTGACACGTCGTGGTGACGATGATGGCGAGGAGCATATTGGTGGAGAGGAGCGTCCCGGCGCTGCCTGCGCTCCCTCGAGTTAGCGGTATAGGCATGGGGACAAAAATCTTGTAGGGAGAAAACTTTAGCACTACCAGGTAAAAAAATATCTCCTTTGTAGCCCGCGCGCGCCGGCCCTGGCCGGCTCCAGTTGCGCCGATGGAGGACGGCTGCCAGCGCATACACCTCGCGCTCCCGACCGACGGCGTGGTCTCTTGGCGCGGGCGCTCGGCCCAGCCGGCGGCGGACGAGCAGCGAAAGAAGCGCGCGGCGCTCGGCCCCGAGGCGGGCGATCGGCCAACCAACCGCTTCCAGCAGATCATCCAGGACATGGAGCGGAAGTACGCCACGTCGCGCATGCCCGTGGCCCGGCCGCCGCCCAAGCGCGCCCGCCAGGCGGAGGAAGGCGACGCGGCGGGCGCGGAGGGAGCAGGCAGCGGCGGCGACGCGGCGTTGGGCGACGCGTGCGATCGTGCGAGTGAGAACGGATGTGGCGCAGCCGACTCGGAGGGCGGCGGCGGCGGCGGCAGCTGCGCGGTCGGCGACGGCGGCGCTTCCGTGGCCGACGGCGGCGGCGACGGCGGCGAGGAGGTGGGAGGCGGGGAGATGAGCGACGACGGCTCGTGGTACGACCTGCAGGACGACTTCATCGACGACACAGAGATGTTCGAGGGTGCCGAGGGCTGGGAGTCGGACTACGAGGACGACGCACGCGAGGGCGGCCTCGGCGGCGGCGGCGGCGGAGGCGAGGGCAGCAGCGGCGGCGAGGGTGAGGGTGGCGAGGGCGGAGACGGAGGCGGGGATGGCGGCGGCGAGGCGGGCGGCGGAGGCGGGCCCGTCCTCAAGGCAACGGGCTTCTTCATCTCTCGCGGGGCGCTCCAGTCTGAGGCCCAGGCCGCGGCCGCCGCCGAGCGTGCCGCGCGCCGCGCGAGCGAGTCTCTGTCGAGCCGCCCCACCGCCCTGCGGACACGTCCACGACATGTCCGAGACATGTCCCGTAGGCGAGTTCATCGACCCGCCGCCGCGTTCGGCCAACGCGGGCCCGTCCCCCGCGTCCGCTCGGCCGCGGCTGCCTCCGCGGCCGCCTGCTTTGCCGGCGCAGAACGGCGGCGGCAGTGGGGCGGCCTCGAGCAGCGGGGCGGCCTCGAGCAGCGGGGCGGCCTCGAGCGGAGCCAACCGCGCGCCGGTGCGTCCGCCGCTGCCTCGAGCCGCCGGCAGCGGCTCCCGCCCGCCGACAGGGTGCTCCGTCTGGGGCGCACTCTCGGTGCTCGCGGCGCTGCTGCACGTGCCTGTGCCGGAGGGCGCCGAGACGGAGGCGCACCGGCCGGGCAAGGGAGGCAGCCAGGCACGCCGCCGCGGCAGAGCGGTTGCAACAAGGTGGTGGAGAGGCGGCCCGGAGAGGCGTAGCGTGTGTCTGCTGGGTAGGGTGCCGGCGAGGCGTTTGCGCGGCTCCTCAAGGAGGTGCAGGAGGCGGCGCCCCGCCTCAACGTGACCGTCCGCGCCGTCAAGGCGGCGGTCGAGCGGAGGCGCGCTTGCGGTGATCGGCGTCTCTTCACGCCCCTGTCTGTGAGCAGGCGATGGTCGAGCAAGCGGCGCGCGTGACGCTCGGCAAAGTCGAGGGCTGGAGCCGCCTCGCCCGCACGCTCGCCGCCAACCTTACCAAGGAGCAGCTGCGCGCCATCCTCCTGCCGAACGGCGTCCCCGCTGCCGTGCCGCAGCTCCAGTCAGCCGCCGCCGCATCGGCTGCCGCGTCGGCCGCCGCCACTGCCGCCGGCAGCGGCGGCCCTGCGGCGTCCGGCACGGCCCCCGCTGCCGCTGCTGCGACGACCGGCCCTACCGCCGCATCGGCCGCGGATGACATGTTCGGCGTCCTTGGCACTTCGCCGGCGGCGTTGGCGGCCGCGGCGGCCGCCGCGGCTCGGGTGGCGGGCGGGGGCGGCGGCGCAGGCTGGGGCGGTGGCGTCGCGGCGGGGTCGTTCGTCGGGTCGCACGACGTGGGCTACTACGTCGAGGACATCGACGGCGACGAGGAGGCGCCGCCCCCACCCCCTGCCTGCGCCGTTCCAGACGGGGGACACGCCCCGTGACGCGTCCGTGACGTGACCAGGTGCCGCTCGCCTACCCCGCGCCCGCGCAGTTCGCGGCCCAGTCCTCCTCCCCGCGGGTGCCGTGGGAGCCGTCGGTGCCGGCGATGCCTCCGCCACCGCCGCCGGCCAAGGATGTGGCAGCGCTCGCGGCGGCGGCGGCATCGGCCATGATTGCGGGCGGCGGCGGCGGCGCGGCGCAGCGAGGAGGCGGGGCGGCGGGCGCTTCGTCGGCTGCTCCGCCGGTAGGGGCTCCGCCGCCGTCCGACGCGTGCCTCCTCTCGGTCACGGTCCCGTACGGCTGCGTACCGGGGCAGACTCTCCAGCTCTCCACCCCGGCGGGGAAGCTGCGCGCCCTCGTCCCTCCTCTCTTCACACCTCCACCTAGCTCCGCTGTGAACAGGCGGGCGCGAAAATGCACGTCATCGTCCCTCCCGGCTGCGGCCCGGGCTCCGTCTTCAACGTCCGGCCGCCGCCCCGGCCGCCGCCCCAGCCACCGCCGCCCTTTGCGCCGCCCGCCTTGCGTGCGCCTCCGGCGGCCCCTCCCTCGCTCGCGCCTGGCGGCGCGTGCGGGGCAGCAGGCGGCTTGGCGTCGCGTGGCGCGGGGGCGGCTGCAGGCGGCTGCAGTGGCGGAGGCAGAGGCGCCTGCAACGGCGGTGCGGGCGCCACAGGCAGCGCGAGCGGCCGGCCGCCGGCGGAGGGTGCTGCCCCTTCGGCTGCGGGCGAGGCGGGGGGGGCGGGCTGGCCTGTGCCCGCGGCCGAGGCGCCTCAGCTGCTCGAGCGGCTGGCGCACGTGCGGGAGGACTTGGAGGCTGACCTGGCGAGTGCCGTGGAGGCATCGCCGAGCCTCTCCAACCCGCCCGCGGCCACGCGCGGCGCGTCACGCATGTCGGACACCTCCGAGGCCTCCGAGGGCGGCAACAAGCGGCAGCGACTCCCCGAGCCCGTGCGAGACATCCTCATCACGCTCGTGCGGTGCGAGCAGCTGGGCGCGCACGCGCGCGCGGCGATGCAGGGCAAGCGGCTCCCCCTCCTCGCCAAGGGCCAGCCCTCGCCGTCGGCATGGCTCACCCCCCCCGTGCTGGAGCGGCTCGCCGCGCTCGTCCCCATCGACGAAAAGGCGCTGCGGTCGCGGCTGATCAGCTACGGAGAGCAGGCCGCGCTGCCCGAGAAGCTCGCCTCCCTCGGCGAGTCGTTGCCGCGGCGGGCCAGACCACCTCCGACAGACGGCGCGGAGATTGCCGCTCCTGAGCCGCAGCAAATCCGAGCCGTAGGCTGACCGCTGCGCTGGAGACGGCGATGCGGGCGAGCGCCGCGCCGCAAAAGGCGGCGCACGAGGCGCTGGTCAAGGCGCACGCCGCCGACGAGAAGCGGCGCGTGGCCGAGACCGCGGCGCTGGCCGCCTCCGACCCGAGCAAGCTGGTCGGGAGCGAGGTGAGCGTGCGGCGCAAGGTGCAGCGCGGCAGCTCCACGTCCACATCTCCCCACATTTCCCCACATCCCCCCACACATCTCTCCCGCAAGGTGCAGCGCGGCAGCTCCACGTCCACGACGTGGCAGGACGGCCGCATCATCGCGTTCGCCGCCGACCAGGGCTGCCACACGGTGCAGTACTCCAAGGACGCCGCCGCCGAGGAGCTCAACTTGGTGCAGCTGCCGTGCGGCGCGGCGGGCGGCGGCGCGGCCGGCGGCGGCAGCGGCGCACTCGCGTGGAGGCCAAAGGGCGCCGCTCCACCAAAGGGTCGCTTTCAGTGGGACGCGGCGAGCGAGGAGGCGTTGCTGGCGCTCGGCTGCGCCCAGCTCTCGCTGCAGGAGAAGGAGGGGGAATGGAGCAAGCTTCCGAGTCAGCTCCTGCGAAAGCCGATCCTGCATGGCACGTGGCGCCGCCCAGCCACCCCGGAGGACGGCAAGGACGACAAGGACGACGGCAAGGAGGGCAAGGAGGACGGCACCGGCGTCGAGGCGCCTGCCTTCAAGGCGATGATTGAGAAGGTGCGGAAAATGCTGCCCCACGGCTGGGTCACGAACAAGATCGTCGCAACCACGTTCGAGAGGGTGCGTGCGGCCCCGCCGCCGTCGCCTTCACCGGCCGCTGCGGCGCCGGCCGCTGCAGCGGGAGACGCGCCCGGGCCGCCATCGCCGATGTCACCCGTGCCTCTGTAACGCCAAGGTGTACAGAGGTGTACGTGAGAGAGAGTTCTGTGATACCCCATGTCGCACCGCGGTCCGCCCATGAGCCATGTCCTATGTGACCAGTACGAGGCGCTGGCACACCTGGCAGCTTGGGGCTGCGGCTGGTCCCCTGTGAGCTGTGTTTCCCCCCGAGACGAACGAAGCGAAGCACACACGAGAACGCACAGGCACACACACACGCGACGCGCAGTGTTGTGTACTGTTGAAAAATATTGCCGATCGCTCGGGCGAGATGGCGCGAGATGGACGGAGCGGATCGCGCCCCGGCGCGGGATCCTGAGCCCTGGTGTCGAGGTGTCGAGGCCCGGTGTCGAGGGTCTGCTGTCGAGGGATAGAGGTGTCGAGGCCTGTCGAGGCCTGTCGAGGCCTGTCGAGGCCTGTCGAGGCCTGTCGAGGCTGACACCATGCTTGTCCGTGTCGAGGGGTGTCGAGGGGTGTCGAGGGGTGTCGAGGGGTGTCGAGGGTGTCGAGGTGTCGAGCGGGTGTCGAGTTGCGTGTGGCGCGAGGTGTCGAGCGGTGTCGAGCGTCCGTGTGGCTAGCGCGGGGCTATACTCAATAGCAGAACTGCTGTAACCAATGAAACCATCCTCGCCTCTCCCCTAGAGCTCTCCCCACAGCACACTGCTCCACAGTAGAACACATGAGTGCAGGCTGCGCGCACAGGCTTTGTGGGGGCCTGGTGGGGGCCTGGCATCCAGCCTGTTGTTCGCAGCGATCTGCATGGCAGCAAAGCTGCCATCAGCGGGGGCAGTCGCGGCAGTCGCGGCAGCGGCACCCTCCCACGTCGCCGCCGCCATCGCCGCCGGCGCTGCTTCGGCGGGCTCGGCGGCGGCGGGCTCGGCGGCGGCGGGCTCGTGCTGCATATTAGTGAGGGGAGAGCTAGAGAGGGAGGGAGGGGAGGGGGGGGAGGGGGGGGGGAGGGGGGATTATAAAGTTTTGCAGTCAGAAAAGAAGCAAGAAGAGAGAGCGGTGTCGAGTGTGTCGAGCGGTGTCGAGCGGTGTCGAGGGGTATCGAGCGGTGTCGAGGGGTGTCGAGCGGTGTCGAGGTGTCGAGTTTGGCACCTTGACACGGACGAGCATGGTGTCAGCCTAGATGGTGTCGAGGGGTGTCGAGGGGTGTCGAGGGGTGTCGAGTTGGCATGGGGTGTCGAGGTGTCGAGTCGGTGTCGAGGTTTGGTGTCGAGGTGTCGAGGCCAGGGCTCAGGCGGGATCGCGAGCGGCGAGCCGAGCGCCCAACCAACGCGCGCAACGGGGCGCGGGGCCGCGGGCCCGCGGCGCCGCGGGAGACCGGGAGCGCGGCGCGCACGTGCCTCGTGCACACGTGCGGCGGGAGCACAGCATAGTGCTCCACGCACCGTCGGGTGCGTGGGCGGTAAGGAGGAGCCGCGCGGCGCGCGCGGCCTTGGTGACTTACAAAAGTTGATCAGGAATAGACTGATCAGGAAAATAGACTACAACACTTCGGCGACCGTCGGCGCGCCGATACGCCCGAAATAGCGATGCAATCGCAATAGCTCCCAAATAGCAAATATATCCGCGCTCTCGGCGAGTATAGCCGCGCGCCGCGTAATCACGTTGCGCATGACCAGACGGTGTAGCTGAGCTCCCTCGGAGACCGAGGGCGGCGCCCAACGGCGCGGTGGCGCGGTGGGCTGCGAGTGCGCGATGTCTACGTCTTGCTCCATATACACTGCACCGATCGATGATAAAGATACGAAGGGAGGAACGAACGCACGCGGGAACAATTAACTAATCAGGATATTACGCGGGGCGAGGTGTGAACGGTCTACCCGAGGTGAGGGTAGGCGCATCCCCCCCAATGGCGGCGGGCGAGTGTCGAGCTCGCAGAGCCGCCATTGCCACGTGACTCGTGAGAAGGGTTCGGCGTGTTGACCACGAGCCGTCCGCGGGGGGGTAGGGTTCGGCGAGTTGACCACGAGCCGTTCGCGGGGGATAGGGTTCGGCGTGTTAACCACGGGCCGTCCGCGGGGGGTAGACTGTGTTTGTGTTGCCGTTGAGGCAAAATCCATGAAGGCCACGCTGTTGGCGGTTGGTGCCAAGCGTTGGGGTTGGGTTGTGGCAAAAGATTCAGCGCATTGTTGCATGCTGCATCAAATCGAATACCCAGTCGCGCGCATTCGAGCAGCGACGTGGTTGAGCGCACTGCGCTGATGAGGCGACCCAAAGGAGGCCGGATCGGACCGTAGGCCGCTACCATGCGCATGACCAGACGGTGTAGCTGAGCTCCCTCGGAGACCGAGGGCGGCGCCCGACGGCGCGGTGGCGCGGTGGGCTGCGAGTGCGCGATGTCTACGTCTTGCTCCATACACACTGCACCGATCGATGATAAAGATAGATCTACGAAGGGACGAACGAACGCACGCGGGAGAACAATTAACTAATCAGGATATTACGCGGGGCGAGGTGTGAACGGTCTACCCGAGGTGAGGGTAGGCGCACACGTAAAAGCAATCGAGTTGCTTTTACGTGACGTAATATCTCGGAGTTGGAAAGTGTGAATGCGCACCCGCGCATTCGGTCATGGAGAGGCACGCCCCTCGCTGGGCGTCACACTACAGCGCAGCTCAAAACTACATGCGGCGCGGCTTTATCCCACACACATATAAAGCCGTAAAGCCGTACTGACGTATGAGCAATATCACGGTGCCGGTGTGTGGCGGGCACTCCTTCCACCTTAGTCCGTTTCGTCGGAGAGGGGTGTTCGAATATAAAGTAATTCCCCTCCACAAAAACGCAACGTATTCTCTCGCTCAACGCCTGCCCCTCCCCCCAAACGAGGGTGGCAGACGCCGCTTGTTCCTCGACGCGGCAGCACTTCCCGCCCTGTCGCCCGCGCCGGCGGTCGCCGACGTCTTGGTGCGCCATCCGCTGCTTGCAGCAGCCGCCGCCGGGGCCGCCGGGGCCGGCGCCGCCGCTGCCGGCGCCGGCGCCGCCTCCGCGCTGGGACGGCCGAGCGGCACGCCGTGCTGCGAGCAGTAGGTAGCCACGCAGCCAAGGAGCATCTCCCCGTGGCGCTGCACCGTCGTGCGCGGCATGCCGGCAAGCGCCAACAGCTCCTGCTCGTTGGCGGGTCGGAGCCGCGCGATGAGGCCGAGCTGCGCGTCGCCGACGACGGCATATGGCGGAACGTCGTCGCGCAGCGCCCGCCGAGCGCGCGCCTCACGGAGCCTCCTCGCCAAGCGCACCGCGTGCTGTTCCTCGGAGAAGCTGTCCAGCTTGAGCTGCAGCCGACTGCTGCCCGAGGCGAGCAGGGCGAGCACAGCCGCGCCAGAGCCGTCGACCCCGCGCAGCCTCGGCGCCTCGGCGCCGGCGACGACGGCGAGGCCCTCCATGTCGGACGGCCGCGCCTTTGCCAGCGCGACGAGACACCTCTCGCTCACCAGCGCGCCGAGCGGCTCCTCGCTCTCCTCGCCGCCGTCAGCGTCCGACGGGGCGGCGGCCACGGACCCCCTCAGCGAGCGGAGCTGAGACAGAATGCCGAGCTCCGCGCTGCTGAGCGCCAAGGCCAGACTCGGGCCGCCGCCGCCTCCGCCGCCTCCGCCGCCGCCTCCGCCGCCTCCGCTGCTGCTATTGCTGCTGCCAGCAGAGGGCGCAACCGGAAGACGGAGGGGCGCCGGCGTCGCATCCGTACCTGGCTCGCATAAGCCGAGACTTGGCCAGCTGCGGCGGTGGCGGGACAGGGCGAGGGGCAAGTGCATACAAGCGGCCGCGCGCCTTTCGCGAGCAGCGCCCGCCCAGCGCTCGCGACGCGAAGCGCGTGGTAGGAGCGGGGCGCGAATGGGTGGGCGCCGGGAGCCGCCGGCAGAGCGACGAGCTCCTACGGTGGCACGACGCCTCTGCTCGCGAGCCGTTCGGTGCGGCGAAGCGCGAGAGGCTGGCGGCGGCGCCTCGGCGAGCAAGCCCTCCTCCACCATCGCCTCGGCCAGCACTCGCCACCACACGGCGGACCTGCTGCACATCGCAGAAGGTGCCTGGAAGGCTCCTAGATACTTCTATGAGTGCGAGATGGCGGACCTGCCGCAACGCACGCCGGCGCCAAAGGCGGAGCAGAGCAGCAAGCGGCCGCCCGCCTATTGCGCCATGCGCGTCGAGCGTCCAAACCGTCTCTCGGGGCCGTGTCGGCTGCAGGCCGCCGCCTTGGAGGCGAGCTTGGCCGTGCGCGCGCCGCGGCAGACCTCGAGCACGGTGGGGAGGCCGAAGCGGCCCCCGCACGCCTCGGCCGCCAGCAGGAGCGCGCGCGCCTCGCTCGCCACGTCGTGGCACCGCTCGAGGCAGCCCTGGCCGCGGGAGCAGTTGTCGCAGCAGGGGGCTGGCTCGGGGCGAGCAGAGGGGGAGGAGGGCGCCTCGGGAGCGGCCGCCCGCGGAGGGAGCGTGTCCCCGAGGTACCTCAGCAGCGCGGCTCGCCTGCGGTGGCACGAGCCGAAGCCTGTGCGAGGCTGGGGGCGGAGGCGGCGGGAGAGGACTCGGCCGCCGCACCGGCACCCGGAGCAGTGGGCAAGCGAGCGCATGGCTGCGGCGGCCTCGGCGTGGCGCGGCTCGCCCTCCGCGGCGGAGAGCCCGCGCAGGCGCGACCAGTCCGAAGGGGCGTGGAGGAGGACGCACGCCGCGGGGAGGCCGTCTCTGCCGGCGCGGCCCGCCTGCTGCGCGTACAGCTCGGGCGACGCGGGAGGGCCCCAGTGCACGACCAAGCGGACGTCCGGCTTGTCGACGCCGAGGCCGAGGGCCACCTACACGGGACGCGTGTCGTGCACGTGTCGCGGTCGCGCGCGCGATGGACGCGGGCGTGCCGAGGCCGAGGAAGGTGTCGAGGAAGTGTCGAGGAAGTGTCAAGGAAGTGCCGAGGCCGAGGCCCACCGTCGCCACGAGAACCCTCGCGCCGTCGCGCGACCACGAACGCAGCGACTCGTGCCGGCCGGCAGCGCGCGCGTGGTAGGGCGCGGCCTGCACGCCCGCCTCGCTCAGCGCGGCGGCGAGCTCGTCCGCCTCGGCGGTGGTCGGGACGTAGACGAGCGCGGCGCCCTCGTGCCGCCGGAGCAGCGGCAGCAGCGAGGCGGCCCCGCTGTCGCCCTTCTGGGCCACGCTGTAGTGCAGGTTCGGGCGGTCGAGCGGCGCAACCACGACCGACGTGTCGGTCCCCATCTGCAGGCTCGCCGCCAGCTCGCGCCGCGTGGGCGGCGGCGCCGTCGCCGTGAGCGCCATCAGAGGCACGCCCGCCGGCCTCGCCTCGCCCAAGCGCAGGAAGGCGGGCCGAAAGTCGAGCCCCCACGAGAGGACGCAGTGCGCCTCGTCGATGGCGATCGCGCAGATGGGGCGCGCGGAGTGGAGAGCCGCGACGAGGTCGCGGCCGGCCGGCGTCGCGAGCTTCTCGGGCGTCACATAGACCAAGTCGAACTCGCCGCGGGAGGCCCTCGCCTCGGACGAGGCGTCGGTCTGCGAGGAGCCGAGGTAGACGGCCCGCATCCCTCGCGCGCTCGCCGCAGCGACCTGGTCATGCATGAGTGCGACGAGCGGCGTCACGATGACTACGGGGCGGCCAGTCAGCAACGGGAGAAGCTGGAAGCAAACGCTCTTGCCGCCGCCGGTCGGCGCCACCACGAGGCAGTCGCGCGCCTCGAGCGCGCAGCGGATGGCGAGGCGCTGCGACGCGCGGAGCACACTGTGGCCCCAGTGCTCGCGGAGCAGCGCAGACGCACGGGCCTCCCAATCGCCCGGATGCGGTCGCGGAGGAGGGTCGCGCATGAGCAGCGACTCGTGAGCGGTGTCCGTCATGCGTGAGGCGGGTGGCTGAGCGCGAGCGAGAGCTCGGGGCGGCTGAGCGTGAGCGGGTCGGTGGCGAAGCGGTTGTGCGGTGGCTGAGAAGAAAGTCGCTGATGGCATTGCCGCTGGTGCGCTTCTCAGCTTAAAATCCTGCGGCGTGCCGTCCTCCCATCCCTCCCTTGGGTTGTGTGTTTTTTTCTCTTTTTGCGCTTCTCAGCTCCCCCCCCCCCCCCCCGGCCTGTGCGGTTCCTGACCGCACTCCAAGTGATCCAAAACACACGGGTCTGGCGCGCACTGGCACTCACACTGAGATAACTTACAACAGCGGCCCCCTACCTCGCACAGACAAAAGAATTTTTACCACGACTCGATTTCTAACCTCACGACAGCTGAGTCGGCCTCCGCCCTCGTCCCCCTTCGCCTCGGGTGAGTCGCCCTGCCCCAGTCGTCCAGAGCACGCCCTCTGGCTAGTCAGCCAACCAGTGACGAAAACCGGACGCACACCAAGCGCTAAGCGTGAGGACGCGATTTCGAATTCGGAGGCTCAGAACTTAGACTACTACCCAACCAGTTCCCCTCCCGGGGGGGGCAGGCGAGCACGCACCTCGCGTCCGAGCGCGAGTCGAGGAGCGGGAGCCGAGAGATCGCCGAACAACGGTTCCGCACGCACTGCACAGCTGCGGGTTGTAACTCGACTGCCGATCGCGCGTGCGGGATCTGAATGGAGCTCGCTGGCGCCAGTACACGGCAGCACTACCTAGTGCAACGGTGGGAGCGGAGGAGCGCCCTCAACAGACGAACTGAGATCGCTGGACTGGATCCATTGGGTCGCTGTACCCTCTGGAGCAGAGGCGGAAGAGCTCGCGCCACAATTCCGACAGGTGCGAGCCTTTTAGGCGAGCCCACGCGCCTACACCGTCACGTAGTATGCACGCGGCACGCCGCCAAGAAGATAACCGGCAAGAAGAGAACGCCTCACTCCAGTGATGCTCAAACGGCTGAAGTCAGCACGCTTCGCTGCACCGCAGAGGCCCTGCCGCTCGCCGTGGACGGCTTCGGAGGCGGTGCCAGCGCTCTCAGGCCGGCCGTGACGGACGAACGAGGCAGCCGTACCTCGGCTGTGCGACAACCCCGCCTTGGTGGGCCGCGCGACAGCTGTTACCTAGCAAGGAGCTCGATTGGCGACAAATGTGGGCCTTTTCGGCTGTGAAGAGAGCCCATAGGAATCCTACCACGCCGGAGCTTTGTGGTGGCCCCCAGCCGCACCGGCCGAGGCCGGGCGACGTGTGCGCGTGGGCGTGCTGGGAGTGCCATGTGGCGACCCACGCATCGATCATCGGGCGTGCTTAGACCGTGATATATAGGTCCCGAGCAGACTTTAAACCAAGTGCTGCGCAGCGAGGGCAGGAACTGGCAGCACGCGGCATGCAGATGGGGGTAGACCGAATGTGCTGTCGCAGGGGGGCCGTCGTCGCGCGCGTGCTGCAGGCGTGCGCGGCATGGGGCGTGCTCGTGCCGCGCCTCCCCGCGAACAGCTGCTGTGCGGACTTTTTGGGGCCGCGGCCGGCGCGGGGTGCGGGGAGCGCCCGCCCGGGGAGGCGAGACGAGTGGACGCGAGAGGGCTGAGGCGTGAGGGGCGGCATATGCCATATCGCGCGAGTGCGAGACGCGCGAGATTACATGTGATTTGCACTGCGATTCAAAGTAGAGAACAAACCGCATGAATGAACACAACGCTGTCATCGGTTCATCATCATCCGGCACCGCCGGCGTCCAGCTCTCGCAGCAGGTCAGACGGCCGCAGGCTCTCCCCCGCCGCCCACGCGTCGTCCTCGTCGCCCTCGTCACCAGAGGCGTCGCCGCCGCCGGCCTCCCGCCGGGCGGCGGCTCGCAGCTGCGCCAGCAGCGGCCGCGTGAGCATGCCGTGGTAGAGGGCGGCGTTCATGCCTCCGGTCACGGGCCAGTGGAGGCCGTTGGCGGCGAAGTGGAGGCAGCCAGAGTCAAAGACGCCGAGGTCGCCTGGCTCGAGCGCCACCGCCGTCACCGCCTCGTCGAGCAAGAGCGCCCGCTGCGCGTCGTCGAGAGGGCGGTCCACCGGCACGCGCGTCGCGAGCAGCTCGGCCTGCGCCTACAGCTCCAGGCCCCTCTCCGCCTGAGCCGGCGGCGACGGGCGCCGCCGCTGCGATGCCTCGGCCGCGCCTCGGCGGCGTCCAGCTGGGTGTAGTCGGCGGCGTGCAGCGCGGCGAGGCGCGGCGTGGCCTCGCGCGTCGCTACTCCGAGCAGCTTGAGCCCAGTCAGGCCTGCGCAGGGGACGCCACGCGAGAGTGAGGGCGAGGGGCGGAGCGTCTCTCCGGCGGCGTCCGTGAGAACCGTGCGCAAACTCGAGCTGCGGGCAGATGTCGACATGCGCAGCCGTGAGGGAGCCCGCGTCGCCCACAAACAGCCTCGCCTCCTCCTCCGACCACAACACGCCGCCCTCGCCGCCGCCGCCCTCGCCGCCGCCTCTCTCGCCGCCGCCGCCTCTCTCGTCGCCGCCGCCTCCCTCGCCGCCGCCGCCTCCGCCCTCCTCGCACAGCCGAGCCAGCTCCTCTCCCAGCTCGAGCCTCGCCGGCCCCGCCATCCCCTCGGCGGTGGCGAGAGCGCGCAGCGCCGGCACTGCGGGCAGCTCGACCGCGTAGAGCCGCGCGGCGGGCACGGCGGTGTCGAACACGACGGTGAGGCTGCCGCCCCGCGCGCGCCTCGCGTCAACCTCTGCGAGAATCGCCTGGGAGCGAGGCGCGGAGCCGCCCGGGTGGCGACGGGCGGCCGATGCCTCGAGAGGAGTGGGCGGGGCACCAGCGGGAGGGGTCTAGGAGGGGTATAAGAGGTGTGTCTAGGAGGTGTCTAGGAAGTGTCTAGGAGCGCCTCGAAGGAGAGGGCGGGGGCGCCTCCCCGCATCAAGAGCATGTCCGGCCCCTCGAGGCGGTGGAAGAGCATGCCGGCCCTCACCCCGGCTTCGTCGGCAACGCCTCCCTCCTCCACCTCGCCAACCTCCGCACCGAGGCCAGCCGAGGCTGCGCCCGCCGCCTCGCCGGACGGCTGCAGCGGGCCGAGCGAGAGGCCGAGCGGCGCCTGCAGGACGGCTCAGGAGCAGAGTCAGAGAAGGGTCGGGCCGCAGCGGTTCCGCACCGCCTCTGCTCCTCGGCCGGAAAGTCGACGCGCAGCGTGCCCTTGCCGATCGCCTCGCGGCAGCCTGCCGCAACATCATCGCCGATCTGCGCCAGCTCGCCGCTCACATACTCGCCTACCAGCCGCCCCGCTCCACCCCACACGTCGTCGCCGCCGCTGGCGCTGCTGCCGCCAGCCGCCCGCTCGGCGCGAATCGCGCGCTGCAGAACCTCAGCAAAGGCGACATCAGCGACGTCGCAGCGGCCCGCCCGGAGCGAGACGGCGGTCCGTCGCGTAACGGCTGCCGCAGCCTGCAGGCCGGAGAGGCCAAGCGCCGCGCCGCCGCCCGGAAAGAGGAGCGGCGTTGGAATCGGCTCCGCGCCGCCGAGCGCCTCGAGGAACCAGCCGGCGTCCAGCGCGACTGTGCCGCGGCCGGCGACCCGGCGGCGGGCGAGGCGGTCGCGCAGGCGGGCCGGCCAGTGCGGCGCAGCAGCGGCGAGTCTCTCCTCGGCGCCAGGCTGCGGGCGGAAGGCGAGATCGAAAATCTGCTCGGGAGAGCCGAGCTCGAGCGGCGGCTCGTCATCGGAGCCGTCTCGCAGAGACCAGTCCGAGTCCGCAACGTGGTGCAGCGTGCAGCGCCGGCCGCCGGAGGTCACGTGGTAGAACTCGCTGTCGCCGTCGAGCTCGAGCGCAAGAAGCCCGACGGAGCGGCCGCAGGGCGCGGCGACGAATGGACCCTCGCAGAGCAGAGACGGAGGTGGCGTCCGCCGGGCCATAAAGTGGGAGGGCGGAGCGCAGAGCGAGGAGACGAGCATGCCGCCACGGCTTCAAGCGGGGCCAGCGTGGAGGGTGCTGAGGCTTCGCGCAGACTCCGCTTTCTTTCTTTTTCCCGAGGACGACTGTTCAAAAGGGCCGGGCCGGGTCGAACCTGTGTGCTGTGCGAGGAATTCTTTTTCCTGTATTGCGCCTCGTCTCTGCGCAAGAGCCTCTCCGGCTTGCCCGCCTCCGACTGTGGGCGGCCGGCGGTCGGCTCTCTCTCCCGCGCCTTCTTTCTCGACCGCGTGATCGGACGCTGGAGATCGTCGCCCCGCCGCGGATCCAAGATGCATTGGAGGACACCGCACACAAAAGGTGCGCTGCAAGGCTTTGGCGTGTCGTTCGTTTGTTGCACTTGCACGTGCACGCACGCGCGCGCGCGTCGAACCTGCCAAAAGAGAAAGTGGCGCTCGAACGAGCTGTGTGCAGCTCACGCTGCCAATTGGCAGACAATGGAGCAGACCTGAAATCTCACCCTATACTCGCCCTCGTGCAGGCTCGCGCCGCTGCGCAGGAGGGAGAGAGTGCGGGTGGCGGTGAGGCTCTCGATGTGCGCGAGCGGCGTCCAGCCGCGGCTGGCGACCAGCCAGGCGGCGAGGTCGGCGTGGCCGCGGCTGTGTGCGACCGCCTCGGGCGTGGCGCCGTAGGAGGAGAGGAGCTTGGCGACCTCGAGGGGGCCCTGCTTGCACGCGATGTACAGCGGCGTGGCGCCGTTCTGCATGGCGTCGTCGATCGCCGCGCCGCCGCCAACTCCCGCGGCGCCGCCGCTCGAGGCGAGCGATAGCACGCCGGCGCCGAGCTCCTATCTAAGATCTTGTCTTTGTTTAGAGCTGCCGCGTCGCTAGAGGCTAGGGCCTGAGAAGAGGATTGTACTCACACCTCTACCGCGGCTGCCGCCGCTTAAGACTAGGCTCGGATTGGACTTCTCTAGGCCTTGAGCTCTGAGCTGCCGCCGCCGTAGCCTAGGATTGGAGCTGGCTAGAATCGGCTCGAGTATCTCTCTAACCTCTACCGCGGCTGCCGCCGCTCTCGGCTAGGATTGGATCTGG